GCACAGCTGGGCATGGGCAACAGAACTTCAGGAGTGGATGCAGCGGAAAGAAGGAATGCTAGCATATGCGGGTTTACGATGCCAGAACGATACTTTCATGAAGTATCCAAAGAGAATAGACTGGTGACCAAGGTCGGGGACCTTGTCGACTGCTGGTTAGCGCTTATAGCGGGAGTGCAAATGCAATTCCTGGTGAGTAAGGACGGAGGATGGCTCAGACGTTGTCTGGGTCAAGTCGAGCACGACCAAGAGACTGTGGTGAGCGGAGAAGGCGTAGAGATGGGAGGGATGGAAAAGAGGGGGAGCGGCCTCTTCATGAGATATGTTCGAATTGAAGAAGCGATGCAAGCATTCCAGTTTGGAGTCGTGGGTCAAGAGTTTGAGCAGTTGGAGCAGACATTGACGTTTATGGGATATTCGCTGGAGAGCGTGCGTACGAGACTGGGAAGGTGGGTGAAAGCGAACACGGACTCGCAGAGTGGGGCGTGGAGGCCTTTGATGTTTCAAGCGGGGGAGTTGATATCGGGGTGGACAGAGGTTGGGCGTGTATCGAATGATGTGTCACGTACCCTGCGGCAGAGAGAAGGGAATGCAGTACTGGGGGATCGGGCGGTGCAGTGTCGTGTAGTGTGGGAGTTGCAATGTGTTTTGAGGGAAAGGGTATCGGGAATGGAAGGGAGCCCGAGCAGTATGGTAGCGGTGGCGCTTTGCATGGTCAGTTTTCCGTCGCTGGTTGTGATGAAGACAGAAGAAACGAGCGAGAAAATGGGTGCCACGGATGTCCGGTCAAGCGAGGCAGGGGGGGTGGCAATCTCGGAAAATCGAGATAGTGTGTCAGTATCATTCGGGAATGAGCAAAGAGGTAGGGATGCGGAAGAAGAGAGGAAGAAACGGAGCGAAGAAATGTTTGTGATAGTGCCGATTTGTGGGCCTCAGAGAATGAGGCTTCAGGTACAAGTGGGCGACGATGACGATTGGAGCAATAGAGGTGGAGCGGGCGATAGAGGATTCAAAGTGAGAGTACGGTTGTGCCGGGGGGCGACATCGCGAGATGAGCGGTTTGAGTGGGGATGGTGGCGGGAGGCAGCGTTGGGACGTATGGAGGGATTGAGGCGATGGCAGAAGAATCATGGTATGTGTTCGCCAGACTTGCATGCCGGGCACCGGAATATGACGTCAGACATCGTGAGTGTAAAGCCAAGAGCAGACAAAACGGGGACAGAGGTTGAGATGTGGTCGGGATGGGAACCGTTTCGAAGCCAGCAATGCAGATTTGAGCTAGAAGGGGACAAAGTTCTTGCGAAATTTGAAGTGAGCATGCGACACCATGATCTAGTAGTTACAAAGAAAAACATTACGACATTGTACACCCAAGCCGTCGGGGAGAGAAGCTTCACGGTGTACGAAGACAATGACCGCGAGGCCTTACAAGACGGATGTTTGATAGTAGGAGAAGCACTGGATGATAAGTCGCCAGGTTGCTTGAGCTCAGTCAGGGCTGGAGCATATGAAGATGAAGAGTTTGCGAAGAACCTGCCAGCAAAAGGCGAAAATGTTATTGAGGAAGAGTTGGGCCAGGTCCAAAGAGACATTTTTCTGTTGAAGGTTGCTGCACTGGAGCATGGTGATATGAACGCGTTGCAGAGATGCGTGGAACTCCTCACCGACTCGAGTGAGGAGATCACAGAACACATGATATTGACGAACAGGCGACGAGCTGGAGAATTGGTGCTAGCTTTTTTCCACAGTGTTTTTGTGAGCAGAAAGGGGAGTTGCGGGGTCAAGGGGGGTGGAAGAGAGTTTGAAGCGTTGTTTTCATTAATGCAGGAGCTTGTGGAGAAATCGGCTTTTGACAACTATGTCGTGGATGTGGTTCTGGAATTTCTGAAATGCGCAGTAGATATGAGTATACCTGAGGATGTACGAAGCTGCCTCGTATGGATGCGAAGGTTGATAGCAAGATCACTGAGATTGGATAAGTTGGATTTTCTTTGTCGTAGTTTTGAAGAAATAATTAGAGCGGAACGAGGGCAAGGAGTGGCTATCCGTCGGAAGCAGTTCTTCTTCACGGACAGTGAGGTGACCGAGTACGACGTGTGTACTGTTAACATTTTAGAAAAGACTCTTCTGGAACGCGAGATTGAGGAGCATGATGATGTCTGGGCGATGAACACGCTAGGACTGATGGTGCATAACGGCGCAGAAGGAGTAGAAGCCGATGTGGTACGCGCAATGGAGCTTTATGAGCTTGCAATATCGAAAGGCGATGATGGCTCTGCGATGAACAACCTAGGTTGTTTGTTAGAGAAGGGAGGGGAGGGGGTCGAGAAGGATGCGGTACGAGCCAAGGAGTTATTCGAGCGTGCAATCAATGAGCATGATTTTGTCCCGGCGATGAACAAGCTAGGACTGATGGTGGAGGAGGGCGCAGACGGAGTAGAAGCCGATGCTGTACGCGCAATGGAGCTTTATGAGCTTGCAATATCGAAAGGCAGGAACGGCATCGCGATGTACAATCTCGGTATCTTGCTGAGAGACGGGGCGGAGGGTTTGGATTGCAATTTGGTGTGCGCGGCTGAGCTGTTTGAGAGGGCCATTGAAGAGAGCAACGGTACAGACGCAATGGTGGAACTCGGAAATCTGTTACGCGATGGAGCGGAAGGAGTCGAGCGGGATACAGATCGTGCATGCATATTGTACGAGGGGGCCATCAAAGAGGACAACCATTCCGAGGCTGTAGAGAATCTTGCTGCGCTGCGCGATGCTGAGATGAATGAGGTCACAGAAGACGGAGATTGAACGATTTCAGAAGTCAGCAAGAGCACTCTCCCGAACGGAGATGGCGGGTGCCGTCGGGGAGAGCAGAAGGGAAAACCCGAGGCTCAAGGCGAGCAGAGTTCCCTTCGTTAAGACCCCTGTAGAACATGGGATAAAGATGTGGTTCCTACCGTCCGGCAGCGACGGATAGATCGCCTATGCCGAGTTCAACTCCTTTATCGGGACAACGAACTCGGAGGCAGCGGCCGGCGCTAGTGTCTAGACGACCGTCAATTTGACCTCATATGAGGTCGTTTTTTTCAAAAATATATAAATTAAATCGAAACTTTAAAAAGTCAGTTTGGACACCATTTCTTTACCGTATACGCCCTCGGCAATAACATCTTGCAAAACATTGGGATAGCGGTTGTCAATGCACAGAGAGACTAATGAGAATGTAATGAACTAAGAATCTAATGAAGTTTCAATGATCAGTTGACTTTTTAAACAGGCGTTTTGGTTTCGAAGATATCAACATAAAACGTTTTGAGGTTGGTCAAAAAGGCTCCCTTTTTGGGCATTTTAAAAATGGCTGGAAAAGACGTGCAGATCTCACCAAACTCCATCCTTCCGCAACGCAGAAGTCAACTGCAGTGGCGAGAGTATCTTTTTCCATCTTGTTGAGTTAGCGCAAGTCGAGAAAAAATAAGTTGAAAAGTGACCTCATACAGTGCTGGCCAAAATGATAGAGACACAGGCCATTCACACTGTGGCAGACCCTTTTTGCTCCAATGATAAATGAGAAGAGGCTCTGCACACGTATTGGGAGAGCCAAACGTGATAGAAAAAACGGTTTTATAGAACAAAAAACAGCCTCGGAACTATAAGGCAAAACGTGTTTACGGCATGGCCATAATGATAGGGACAAGACCTCTACCCCATTATCTGGACCCCATGTATGCGCAATACTCAGCTCAGTACTTCGTAGCACCTCCCTTAGCAAGGTAACAGTCCCTGCAGCGTCGTTGCATGCACCCCAAAAGGGATTTCAGTGTGTCCGTTGTGATGTTATCCCAGGCTTCCCAAACGGTCTCTTTAAGCTCTTCGACGTTGTCAAATTGACGACAACCAGCGTATACAGCACGTGCGAACAGACCCCAGAGATTCTCTATAGGATTTAAGTCTGGGGCCTTTGCCGGCCAGTCCATAACCGGCACCTCTTCCTCCTCAAAGAACTGCCTGACCCGATGTGCTCTGTGAATAGAAGCTCCGTCATGCATGTATATCCATCCTGCGTCCAGCTCCTGATCAATAAACGGTAGCAAATAAATTTCTAATGTTTGTATGTAGTCCTCTGCGTTCTGATTTCCTTCGAGCAACACCAATTCGCATTTCTTCGTCCCACAAAAAGCCCCCCAAAACATGACCGAATTCCCACCTCCTTGCCTTCTCGAGAATATGCGCTTGTCCTTCCTCAGGTCGTGCCAATCGAAGGCGAAGACGTCTAGTCCGTCGAGATTGAACTTTTTCTCGTCGGACCAGATGACTTTATACCAATCTGCAGGACACCATGTCAGCTTCTCGCTCGCAAAATTTTCCCGAGGGACAAGATGACGGAGCAGCATCATTGGAGCCAACACCATCTTCTTGAATTGGAAGTTCGGGTCGTTGTGCAGCGTGCGGTGGATTTACCGTGAGGCAACAGAGAGTCCCAGCTCCTGACGAAGCGTTTTAGAGCCTTTTATTTCATTTGAGGCAGCCCGAAGTAACCTTCTTTTGTCGGTGGGGGATAGCTTTTGCGGTCTTCCTGGCGATTTTTTTCTCCCATATTCCAACGGCGCGCGCAGGAGGTTAGAAACTACGGTCTTGGAGCGCTGCACACGAGCAGCGATGTCTCGAATGGTTCTACCGCCTTGAGAAAGACCAACGATAAGCCCCTTTTCGTGCTCGTTCAGGACTTTGCCTCTTCCCATTTCTCCGAGCTACCAACCGACTGTTTTCTGCACAACCGTCTGCAGACCCCTCGATTGTAGCCTTAGCATGGCCTTTACGCCTTTCGGCGGAACGCAGTTTGCGTTTTGCGCCAAAACGCGAGTTAGTTCCTGTTGTCCCTATCATTATGGCCATGCCGTAAACACGTTTTTGCCTTATAGCTCCAAGGCTTTTTTTAATTCTATAAAACCGTTTTTTCTATCACGTTTGGCTCTCCCGATACGTGTACAGAGCCTCTTCTCTTTTATCATTGGAGCAAAAAGGGGCTGCCACAGTGCGAATAGCCTGTGTCCCTATCATTTTGGCCAGCACTGTATGAGGTCATTTGTCACCTAGACACTAGGGCGCCCGCCTCAGGCTGCACCCGGCACGGAGAACGGAATCAGGACTTGTCGAGGTGGCGCAACGGAGGAGTCCTTTTGCTCTCGCCCCGTCGCCGCTTTAGCTTTCAGCACTCATTTGACCTGTTGTGGTTGGTCGCTGGTGCCATCCACGGGCATCCCCGACTACCCCGAACCGGCTAAGCAGCTTCGTTCGGTCGTGCCGTCTTTCGCCTTAGTAGTGTCCTGCGCTTCCACCCCCGCCCCCACTCGGGTTACACGCACGCACTAGTATTATGTGTAATGCGCAAGAACTTGACAAGTAGGGTTGACGACTCAAGCTCTGAGAGCGAGGCGCAAGATGCGAGAACTTGAGACAACTTGAACAGATCGCTTCGTATCTATGCTTCATTTTCAATGTGCACGTAGTACAATGAGATAGCCCTCTCCAGATTGTGCGAGACCCTGTATGCCGGCGATCGTGTCAGAGAGCGGAAGAGTGGGAGACCGCGCGCTCCGATTGCGATCCGAGCAGTCGGTCTTCTTCCTTTCTGGCCTTGCCAAGGATATGGAAAAGACTGCCTTTTGCACTTCTATTTGGCAATGGATAGAGGAACCTCATCCCCACCAACTACGTCCTCTTCCAACGATCGCCACCGATATCCCCTCTTGTTACACCCGAACCAGTCATGTTTGTCAGCCCCAGCAATCAAGAAGTAATCAAACTTTACTTTCACAAGTGTTTTTACTCGCAGCTCTAAAAGATACGCATCTCAAACCCAGCATCTGTGTGCATTCGCTTTTGATTGTAAAACCAGGTATTCGATCGCCACTTGCTTGCATTCCACTACCACCGTTAGGGCGTAAAAGAGGCCCCATTTCCGAACCAACATTCTGTGAGCGTCTGTAGTTTCCTCGTTTTCCTCGACTACATCTCAGAAGCCAGGTTTCCATAGTGCTTTCCAACTCCCTCCCTGAACGTGGTGGGAGTCCAGTTGTGCCCTGCCCATGTTTTGCGTTTCCGTTCTAGAGGTAGTGGTCGACATCATGTTCTCGCACCTACGGACAGCTGCTGGGCGAGATACCGAGCTGGTTGGACACAAGAACTGGCGAAGATTGCAAACGCCGCGAGACCCGAGCGTAAAATCTACGTTTCAGCACGGTACAGTTGGTCTCTATATGGGGTACTCATTCTTTTCGAAGCGCCCTCAAGGAGCTAGTGGGTGCAATCGAAAGAGGGGGGAGATAAGCAAATGATACGAAGGGTTTTTTACAAACGACTGTAAAGGCGTGGATTGGAATAATTGTGGCTTGCAACAATGAGGGAATCATGCGATTCTCTTTGGGCTTCATTTCCGCCTAGCGCAGTACTCGATAGCGCGACGTGTATGGGCGTTCGTGCGACACACGGCATTTATTGTTGGACCAGTGGCTCTAGTGTTTTTCGATCATTTGCCAAAGAGAACTTGGAAGCTGACCTTGGAGCATCATATTAACGGTTGAGATACTTTGTATAAGCTCTTGAATGTGAATGGCTTCCTCTGTACGTGCACAAGGGTGAGGTCATGGAGTGTTACATAATTGCCATTTTGTGCAATGAGCGGCGCACGTCGGTTCGCGGATGTTGCAGTAGCAGTAGCAAGAGCCTCGAGCGGTCGGGCAGCGGTTGCAGTGGAGTTGAAGGGGACGCCCAATGTACGTGGGTCCGCCCGAGTTTGTGTCGATGGCGGCGCTGTGGTGACGACGAGCCAAGCACATTGCGCCGCGATGTGGAGGAGGATGTAGGTTGTAGTGCTGGGACCAGCAAACAACAGCGTGAAGCTCAAAGTTGGTCCAACCTGATCTACGGTAACAGGCTCTTGCTCTCCTTTGCTCCCAGGAAGAGAGGAGAGCAGACGCCAATTAGATTAGGCTTCGGGAAAGTAAGGCCGCGACACAGGAGATAATGTGCACGTACTTTGGAAGGACGCGGTGTGGGCCCCGGCGGAGCTTCGGACTGGCGAAGCCGCCTTACTACACGACGGATCGTGGGGTGATGGCGGTGGGGGAGGAGCGGGCGAGCCGGTTTCTACGCGAATCGGGGCGCCGACGGTGCGCTTAACGTGCGAGCGGCGCAGATGGGAGCGGGTGGGGCAGAGGTCGGGTCGGAGAGGAGAGCTCGAGCTTTGGCGAAGAGTAAGGATCGGTCGCGGTGAGCTCACGGGTACGCGTGGGAGATCAAAATTCCCGGATGCGATCATCCTGCACGGGCCAGGCGCGGTAGACAACGACAGGACCGCAATGAAGGCCCAGGAGCGAGGAGGGGCGCTGCGGTCAGAGCGCAGGGGAGCCGCCGCGAGTAGGGGCGCAGGCGAGACGGGGTGGGTGCTGAAATGGGATGGGGAAGGGGCGTGCGCATCTGTGCAGATGGTGGGAGACGGCGCGTGGAGCAGCGTTTTGGCGGGCGGGCAGGCGCGATCGGGCTCGGGGGGCTTGTTCGATGCTTGGGGCGGAATCGCAGGCGCTGGCGCTGGCGCCCGGCGCCCGGCGCCCGGCGCCTGCGCCGACGCAACCACGGCGCCCCGTGAAGGCGACGGCGATAGAGGTGGAGTTGATATCGACTTTCTCATCCGAAAAAAAAAACTCATAGTCTTTCATTTTTTGAACCACAAGTGGTTACAGGGGCCCTACTCATTAGTACCGCCCCGTGCGAGACCCCAAAACTGGCACTATTGGGAGACGGCATTAATAGGTGACGTCGTCACATCTATTTTCACTCCCTCGGTAATTACAGAGCTTACGCAAACGAGAATTTCAGCAATACAAATGCAGAAATTCTGCATCACCATTTGCTGAAATCCATTTCTGAAAATTTTGTGAACACTTTTCTGAAACGTTTACGCCAAACGTAGACTTTCACAAACATGGGAGTATTAGGTGAAAAGGGCATGCAGCACAACTAAACACTGTAGAGTGGTAAGATACCTTCCCTAACCCCATGCAAGCTGCGTGATGATTTTTGATCACGCTGGCAGAGCGTGAAATTTCGTGATTTTGTGTGAATCACGATTACTGCGTGAACCTCACTCTGTGCAGCGTGAAGTTCACCCGGTCAAATTGCTCACAAACTCTGCTCATCTTTCTAACGCCCTACTGTACTGCACCATATCGCTTGAGAGTGCAAGATCATGAGATATGAAGATGAACATATGTCGGCGTACAGTACACAAAGAGTGCCTAAAATCGCCAACCCCCCTGCACTGTTGCGGTGCACATCGGTGGCATACGTGCGACTTGGACACAGTGACCCCTCGACGGAGATGTGCGTCAGATAAGCGGACGGAACAGTATGAAATGGGGAGGGGAATCCCGTCAGAGCCATTGCAGATTAGAGACAACAACGAGCCGACATGTGGATGGGGAAGAGAGCGGAATTGGGCTCGGTGCATGATGGCGCTAAAGGTGAGCGAGCGCTACGGCTCGCATCCGCAATCAGGTGATGCGACCGCTTGAACTAGAGGTGTGGCACGACTCCCAAATTTTTTCTGCCTGGTCTAATTCTCGCCTGATAAAGGCGTACCTGAGGACACAACCCTTTTCTGTGTTCAATCTGGTCCCCCCGTTGATTTCACATTCTTCTTGATCGTAGGGTCAACAGGGACTACGAACTCATCCAAACTTCAATTTCGTTTCCTCTCTAGCGCCCGCGACACAGTTTTCAGCTCCCCATCAGCTCCGTAGACACGTTGCGTGACGACACGCTCGCCGTCCAACACTAACCACCCAGCCGTCACGGTACTTATCCCACCCTCATCAGTTTGTACTCCTACTGACACCCCGTTCGGTAGCGCAATCGTCACCTCCTCCAGCACCGATGAGGCCATGCGTTCAATCACGCACGAGTAATGCTGAGGGACAGCGTCCCCGGACCCAAACGTAAACACCACGCTCTCTACATCCCATGTCCCACTCAGCGCCTTTGACGTTTCGAGGACAGCGTTTTCTGCAAACCGCTCACTCGCACCGCCGCACCCTGGCAATATGCTGCCTCCGCAGAAGTCGGCATCCCACTTCTCCATCAACATTGTCAACGAACCGGTTGGGGACTTGACGGATTTGAAATCTAGGCGCACGCGCGTCTTTGCCACCGGGTGGGCGAGTGCGATGGAAAACGCTGCGCCAGAGTCTTGCTCATACTGAGCCGGACCGCAACTTATTGTGCCGTCTGGGAACCCGCCGTTGATGGTGTGCTCATCAGAGGTGGGGAAGGTGCGCTCAGCAACATCTGGGACGACGGCATCTGCCTCACAGCCGACGGACGGTAGCGCACGGGTTCGCTTCATGAAAAGCAAGCCATCTTCGAGGCACTTGCTGCTCGACAAGCTGTCGAAACCGGGGATCTCGACGCCCCATTCCCGGAATTCGTCGGGGACAAAGTGATCCTGGTGCAGACGATTGCGGGCGGGGAGCACAACAGTTAGTAGGTAGAAAGCGTGAATAAATGGAAACTTGCGAAGGGCTAGAGTATGGCTTTTTGACGCACAGGGATGTTGATAAGGGCGCCGTCCGGGGTGGAGAAGGCACATTCATATCCGAACCACTCTCCCTCAACTGCGTGCACAAAATCCGGATGTGAAAAGCCGAAGGTGGTCCTCGCGGTGGCTGATGGGGATTGTTGTTGAGCGTCTGCGTTCGCCGACGGCGCTTTGACTCCATCTAGCTGCGATACAGTCGGATGTGCGCGTCCGGCAATGCGAGGAAGTGGTACTTTGGAGCTCCGACGTGAACATAAGGGGTGATGGATCGTGAGGAGAGGGGTCCTGAGAGGCGCTGGTTGCAGAAAGGCTGGAACGGCGGGCGGGGTTTGTGACCAGGGTGGCGTGAGAGGCCTTGAGGGATATGGCATTGCGATTAGCTTCCTGAAACGGGGCTGCGCGGATAGTGACGTCCAGTGTAGGAGCAGTGTTTTGAAGAGAGGCCCTTGTTGCTGTTTGAAGGCCTCCTTAACAACAACTTGGGATTTGGTGTTATTGAAAACACTCAGATTGATATCAATCTGAGGTTGAGAACAGTTCACACACTGCAACTGTCGTAAAGTAGGAATGATGTGGGCTGACGATATAGCGCACAACTAATCAATACACATCCTATACACTGCACGTCTTCAGTTGAAACGCGAACGAATGTCGATGCTGTACACGTGTATCTGCTTTGCTTCTGCGATATGAATATCCGGGCAGGATATTCATAGAAAGGATGCACAATTGCCAGATACGAGCTGCAAACACAAGAAGGATTGCAAGTTGCGTTTACCGGGCAAATCCCGCAGGTATATCGCAATGTTGTCTATGCCGTAGCGAGAAAACAGGAAATTTTAAATCGATATTGAGCAACAAGTGGCTGTTTGTGCTTCTAGCTTGGTCACTTCACCAGATTGTTCATTGTTCAAGAGCTCACATGCACAAAATCTAGACTTCTCCCGTTCCGCTCGACAAAACTGTTCCTGATACGGCACAGTACTAGCCGTTTTATATTCTTTCAAACACATTCCGTTGGACACCTGTCTACCGGGTTTTTTTCCTCGCAGGGAAAGTCGCTTCATCCGTCACAGTCTTCAAGCATCAGGCATGGGACGGCCCGAAAGATCGCGACTTGACGGAGGTAATTTGGACAGCTCAGCCGCGATCTGAACTTGAGAATCAGTCGCGAGCGCAAACACATGATGTACTTTCCATTTTCGTAGTAGCCAGACGACCAACTAAGATGAAATCTATTAGAAATGCCTTTCTTTATGAAGGACTCCGTAATGCTGTCATACTTTTGTTTAAAGGAAGCAACAGAACTCTAGTGGCAAGAAGGATCGGGGAGCTGTTCACAGTTCCGATATCAGGTGGGAGGTTCATGGCATTGTCTGTTACACATACACTCGAGCTCCCAGACACGTTCCAAGTAAAGCGTCCCAGAAAGACCATGGGCATTACGCAATTGCTTAGCACTGCAGGATTGTCTATATCGCCGACATAGTTCGCGCCGACCACCTCTGCTCAACTTGTACATCTATGCATATATTTGCTTATATGGATCGGTTCTCGTCGCAATTCGGGCGCGGTGAAATCACTCGCGATCAAGAAAGCGCTTTGTTGCCATTCGTGAACAGTTTGCTGTCCTACGGGGTGAAAATCAGACATCGCGCGCACTGTTGAAGAGTTGGCATGTCGCAGTCAAGGAATTCAGGCCTTCGGGTTCACGCGCCTCAGACCGGCGTCGCATCGGGCAGGACGAAAGCTACCTGCCACTCCATCACCCGCACAACCATGCCCCGGCGATATGATCGAGATGTGCATAATGTCGCAATTTATGGATGCGCAGAGCAGGCAAAGGAACATAAACATTCAAGGGAACAAAAAAATTACAATGACAGCTCTCCCTTCCCAACATAAACTATGCACACTTGTACGGAGGTAAATTGGACTACAAGGATAGAAATTGTGCACAGCGGCTCACGCCCCAGATCCTAAAAAACAGTTTCGACCTCTAGCGATTCCTCAATGGCGCTGCTCAACAATGGGCGGGAGATGTAGCGATTTCGGGCAGCGTACCTTAAACTAACCTAGCGACGTACGTGAGGGTACTCCTTGACAACCACCCCAAATACTTTCTGGAGGCGACTTCGGTTCAAACTTGGACGTGGCGTCTTAATTGATTGTACAGCATGCGCCTGGCGACGATCCAGGTATTTGTCCGCCCCTCCTTGGCTTGGGAAGTGGGTCCCAAGCCGACAGCAAAGCTTCATCAAAGACATCCTTCAGACCTTCTTGAGTGAGTGCTGAACACTCGAAAAATGAGTCGGCTCCAATAGTGCGGGCAACACTCTCGCCCTCGGCAGTTGTGACGGGCTTCTGTCCCCGTTGCATCAAGCGATTAAGTTCGACGGGATCCTCCCTGAGATCCATCTTGCAACCACAGAGAATCATATGACTACCAGGACTGACTCGCTTGATCTCAGGGGCCCAGCGGCGTTCGATGTTTTCCAGGGATGGGTGATGAACAATGGAATAGCAGAGAATGAATACATCGGTCTCGTGGTAGGAGAGGGCACGAAGGCGCTCGTAATCTTCTTGTCCAGCTGTGTCGAGGAGCTCGAGGGTACGGGGACGGCCGTCAACGTGGACGGTGGCAGTGAAGGTGTCGAAGACGGTCGGGACATAGTCGGTTGGGAATTTGTTCTCAGCATACGAGTAGACCATGCAGGTCTTACCGACGGATCCATCGCCGACGAGGACGGTTTTGACGCGAACTAGGTTGTCTTCGTTAGCCATGGGACCTGCACTGTATCCACCACGAGCCATGCGCAGACCGAGTGGAATAGAGGTAAAGGGATACTGTGGAAGAGGAGAGGTGTGAGGAAGAAGGCGGAAGGAGAGCGCAGGTGAGGAAAGTTAAAAGCGGGTGAGATGATGAGCGAAAGACGAGGGTGATTCCGTCGAAGCTAGAGAAATAAGGAGGCGAGAGGGTATTTGAGCGGGTTGGGGGTGGGGGATGGGGGGGATGGCAGGGGATGAAGCAAGGTGGCGTTAAGACGAGGACGGGTTGGGTAGTAGAGATGATAGGTTTGAGAAAAATGGTGCGACGGATTTACTCAAAGAGAGCCGGATTTGGGGGGCCTCGTTCAAAAATTTGAATTGAGTGCGATTTGGGGCGAAACGGAGCTCGTTTGAAAAACGAGAAATCCCGCCTTTCCCCCTCATTGGTTATCTCCCACCAAACGGACACCGTCCCCGCCACCCTTGTTGAGCCTCGCACGCAAATGGCATTCACCTAATCCCAATCGTTCCCTTCCTCCCTTCACACGGGCCGCGACATCTACCTTTGCCACCGTCTTTCACCCCCCTCCACTCCCCTGCTCCACCCTTTCTTAACACAGCAGCAGTCTTTCGCTCCCCCTGGCGCCTTGCGTGACTCGCCCACATCCCACACCGTCTCCCACTCCCTTCCCCTCTCCTCCAACAACCCCCCCACATTCACACTCGCCATGGCTGCGACTGGACTTCGCCATGCTTCCGATTCTAATGGAGCCTCGCTCGGCGAGCCCTCCATCATCCGAAGAGATGAGATGATGGCTGGCATGATGGGCGGCGCAGATTCCACATCGCTTGGCGCTGACAACGGCACTTCGCTCATCGCTCGCGCTGAGGCGCTCAACGCGTTTATGAAGATGCAACCCGTGGCCAACCAGGCACGTCACCAATCAACTTCCCCCACTATCCCTTCTGAAGAACCTGCTGGCTGCTTCTGTCTCGGCAGCCGCACTGTGCATCAGCCTTCCCGAGAAGTTGCGCACCGAACAAAACGAGAGTACTACCCAGACAACCTGAGCATCCAGCCCAACCGACACAAATGGGGCCGCCGGATGGAGTGGCTGATAGTGGCCTGCGTGGACTTTCTCGAAAAGGAGGGTTTGGACGAGAGAAATATCTTTGCCGTGTCCGCCGTGGACGACTTGGTGCGCAATATGACAGTAGAAGAAGGGGAGGAGCTGGCGAAGAACACGGACCCAAACGTGGCGGCTGGTGTGATCAAGGCGCAGATCCGGCACGCGGACGAGGCGCTGGTGGGCAAGGAGTGTCTGCGGACGTACATCGAGCTGCAGCAAGCGCGGGAAGGGGACGGGAGCCCAGGGGACGGGCTCCGCAGCTACGAAGAGAGCCATCTCGCGCGTACGGTGGACGACACCAAGAGGATTAGCGGGGCGCGGAGGGCGTACGTGCTTGCTCGGATAATGAGGCTGCTGGGAAGGGTGAGCGCGAATGAGGAGGTGTCGCGGATGAACGCGCATTGCCTGGCTAAGTGCGTGGCACCAAGCATGCTGCACTGGGACCCCAACTCGGGGTTTGCGCTGCTGATGCTTGGCAAGATTACGGCTTTTGTGATGACGATGATCGAGGACGCGAGGGTTTTTGATGAAAATCTGTGTCAGAAAATAGATGAACTGGCGCAAGAATGCTAGCGGGAGGGGAGAGGGGGATTAGGGGATTGTTAAATGTTTAGGAGGTTAGGGTTGGGTGGAGCGGGGTGCCTGAGGTGAATGTTTTTAGAGGAATTATTGTTTGTACAATTTGTTTTTCTGTCGGTGTAGCAAAAGCTAGGGGAAGATGTGAAGAAAAGAACTTTTGAGGACGTTTTTATGTGTGTTTGTTGCGAAAAGACAAGGTGGTTTCCCGACGATGTTTTCCTCGGAGCTCTGGTAGCGTAGAGGCACAGTAGAAGAGAAAATGAACTCGGAAAGGTGGCGGAGCAAATACAGTGGAGAAGTGTAGAGGTTTAGTTTGCCTTTGTGTATGACGGCACGACTACGGGAGCAAGCAAGTGCGGGAAGGTTTGGATTGCAAGGGAGAGTGTTGATTGGTGTCAAGTACAATACTGTATGTACGTACGCGCTGTACAGATTGGCGTCAAGTACCCTTGAAGGGTACAGTATGTACGCACTGTACAATGCACAGTTCATAGAAGGCAGTGCTGTGTGGTGATGTCTGATGTCGATATGGTGATGATTCTAGAAGACTAAAGCAGACCACGTGTGTAGCACACGTGCGTAGCAGACACGTGCGTAGCAATCATGACATGATTCACATTGTGAAGAGAAACGTCGCGATAGCCTCCAAAGAGAAACTTCAATCGATCTGCAGCGTCCCGATGCAGCGCGATCTCATACCCTGCACGAGCAAGTAGAAAATCTCAACTTGAGTTCAAGGTTTGGCACGTGTCATGGCCGCCTTATTCAAAAAATGGTAAAACCGACCTCACACAAGGGAGACCCCCTTCACGACGGCAGCACAGTACAGTAGTACAATAGATGGCCTTCATGCGTAATACTCCATAACCCGATTCGACATAAATTGCGTAAACTCTCACATGGAACACTTGCCTTCATTTTTCAGGATCAGCGGCAGAAATAACTCTACCTGCCGAATTTTGCTGTTTTTACGGCTTTGCTACTGCTGAGGATTTCTGGAAGCGTAAGAGCATCTCCAATGATTCTGAACAAATCAACAAAATACTTAATTTGACAATTTGGTCAACCAAAGACATCCCCAACGGTACGAAAACAAAGGAAAAAAAGAGCAACTCACAAAAAACTCGTGACCAAATCCAGCTGATTTGGTCCGATGCACATCGCAGTCAAACTATTTCACTTTCCAAGTGCCGATCAGATATTGGATAAAAATTGGCGCGAAGACCGAAATACTCTACAGCTCACTGTACATCACCTCAAACAATCCCTCCTAGCATCACTAACACCAACGTTCTCACCCCGATCGACATCCCCGATACGATGTCACATTCTGCAGCGTCCAAACTGGACAAACTTCAGATTCATACTGAGAGCAACACAAAAAAGACCACAAGGGGATCAAGTTTCACCACGACTGAAGATGCGGCCATTGCTAAGGCCTGGATATCAGCCTCAGAGAACCCTGTTGTAGGTGCTGAGCAGAAGAGTACTTCGTTCTTTAAATGCATCCCTGAGCTCTACAATGAAAAATTTAAGCCGGTCAACAGAGAGTTCAGATGTATAGAGTCTTTGAAAACAAGCAACATGGCCATACACAAAGAATGCATGCGATTCTCTTGATGCCATGTTAGAGTAGTACGTTTTACAGCCAACAGGGGCTTCTACGGGTGACATTTTAAAAATGGTCACGGCATTGTACAACAACCGTAAAACAACTTGGAGATGGTAAATTACAGGAATGATTGCCGGAAACCATTCCGATTCATGCAGGCTTTGAATATCCTCGGGAAGCATGACAAATTTATGGCTGTAGATCTCAAAGACAGTGGAGAAACATCCAATAAGTCGGTGTCAACAAAGCATGCGGCACCTACATGGAATACAAATGGTGCTACTGTGCTTAAAAGCAATGAGATTGAGCTATTACAGCAGCAACAGCAAATATCAATACGTCGAAAAAGAGCAAAGCAGGAGAATGAAAAATAAAAGGTTACTTCAAAGAAGTTGCGTCTGGCTGCACAACGTGAACGCAACCAGGCTTCGAAAGGACAATATGAAATTATGTTGTTTACACGCGCGCCATCTACTTGTGACACAGCGGAAGCTGTTGAATTCTTCAATATCATGCGAGCTCGCGCTTTGCAAGACATCCGCAAAGAAGAGGAAAGCAAGGCATGAGAAAAAGACACATCAAGCGGTTCTGCGGTAGAAAGCGAAGCGAATGAGAGCGATTGAGAAATTAACAAATTGATCATAACTAATCGACGTGCGCTTTTGGCGGCCTCGTTCCTCGGCCAGCGGGCGTTCCAGCGGACTTTGCACGCAGCCGCGAAAAGAGCACATAGCGCGCGAAGTGCGCGGCGATTGCGATCATTCCCTCCCTTTCTACGCCCAATGATATTCCATGACGAGCACTCTAGTGTTAAAATATTCTACTTCATCATTTGTGAAGCGTGACAGAGCGCAAATAGCTGCGATGGTTCTGTGAGGATGGTCCGATCCCATTTGTCCACCATGAGCCCACATTGGAACAGTTCCGTCTCCGATTACAATATCACTCCCTGCGGCTTCAGTAGAGTTTGTCGCATCTGCTCCGTAAATACGACCTTCTACCATCATGTTATGCAGAAGCACACAAAATTTCATGATGACTTTCATAGAACGCCTGTACCAGGAGCGGGTCGGTCGAGCGACGATATGCCCCTTCCTGTGTAAAACCTCGAAAGCTCTCTCAACATCCTTTCTAAACCTTTCTTGGCAGGCGGCCATGAGCTTTTCCTTTCGCGTTATCGGTTGGGAGACTGTCTGTACAAATCAAGGCCACCTTGGATAAATTCCGTCAGCTAACCAGTAAGGTATGCTCTGCTTTTCTCTGTTTATCTCGTATTCGAGCGATATCGGATATGTTCCGTCCGCAATCTTGTTGGAGAGAGTTGAAGCTTCCAACACATTAATGTCGTTAGCACACCCTGGCATGCCAAAGAAATAATGCCATATCTAAAGCTGGTCATCTCCTATGACCTCGACCGTTAACGTCGCCTCACCCTCTTTCCCTTGATACTGACCATGATACGCAGTTGGACAGTTCTTACAGTACCATTTTGCAGAGTCCATGCCCCCCATCATACCTGGTAACCCCCTTGCTTCTGATCGAGCCACAATCCTTCGTAGGTCCACGTCGCTAGGTGCTCTCAAATACTCCTCCTCGAAACAACACACCACGCCATCGCAGAACCTGTCCGAACACTGCAACACAGTTGACTCGCCGATACGTAGGTATTCATTTCAATGAATCTGCCGCAGATCCATACGCTAACATACGCAATGCTGCAGTAGCTTTTTGGTAGTAAGTTAAACCTTTCCTACAAGTACTGTCCTGGCGCTGTGTAAAGAAAGGATCATGCACTTCAAATGCATCTTTGATTCTTTGAAAAACTTATCGAGACAGCCGAAATCGCCTTCGGAACTGTTGGTCGCTGTACACAGGGGCTTCCGCGAAATAATTTTGAAACAGTCGCAGAGCAGCTGCTTGTCTTCCTCGTTCAAGGTTCGGAGCCCTGCCAACACGTGAGCCACCATGTTTGCGCGGCATGTCGTCATGACTGCTGCTAGTGAGCAGCGTATCAACAAGGTGGAGCAGCTGATCATCAGCCATCTCCTCGACGTAAATTTACGGGTTGTCCATTTGAATAGCGGTTCACCGCCAGTTCTGACCTTGCAGAAGCCATAGCACTATCTTCTCAAATATGGCACCTCCAATTACAGTGCAGTCGCGATAATTGGGAACTCGATAATTGGGACGTCGTGATAAACGGGACAGAAATCAGTCCACCGTCCTCGTTCCCTTCCAAATTTAATCAAATTTTACGGTTGTCCCAAATTTGATAATTGGGACTGATTTTTTGGATTCGGTGGACCTTCTGGAGGGGGTTCTTCAACGTTCAGCAAAATCAAAGAGCACAGCACGGCAGCAGACTAGAACGCTTAGATCTGACTTGTCGCTCGATTCCCTCTCCTCTCCGCGCATCTCAGCTCATCACGATACTGAACCGTCCTGAAAGCTGCAGTGCTATGAAGTACGCCACGTTTAACGAAGTGCAAAAGCGCTCCCTGCGTAACGAAGTGCTCCCCCGGAGTGAGAGTCATCATAGTGCGACATGTCGTGTCATGGCGCTGTGGTGTCAGGTAACATTTCGCCTCTATACGACCCCGGGCAAGTCAACGGTTGCTGGCGTCCTCAAGCAAGCAAGAAACATCGCCACTCGGGAACCTCAACTAAGGGTGAGCAAATCAATTCGAATGAAGCGAGGTGCAAAACCGGAACTTGAGCGGGCACTCTTCTCCTGGATTTGTGATCAAGTATCCGTGCGAAGGATGATTAACGGTCCTTTAATCATTGCAAAGGCCAAGAAGCTCCAAGACCTGTGTAATGCAACGCTGCAGCCAAGCGAGAGAATGAAGCTAAACTTCAGCGCCGGGTGGGTGGCAATCTTCAAACGTCGTTGGAGTCTGCGTTCTTTCAAGACGCATGGAGAGGGCGGTGATGCAGATGTGGGTGCGGCCGACGATGCTCTTCCGGGACTGAAGGAGAAGATAAGACGGTACGATCGGAGAAATGTTTTCAATGCTGATGAGTGCGGTCCCTTCTACAAGCTTGCCCCCGACCGCACGGTTGCCATGCAACGCCCTCCTGGTCGCAAAAAGGCAAAGGACCGCATCACAGTGTTAGTGTGCACAACCGCAGATGATTCAGAAAAGGTTGAACTCATGTTCATTAGAACCGCCTTGCGACCGAGACCATTCAAAGAAGTCTGGAAAGGATTATGGGCTTGAGTACCATGCCAATAAGAGGGCCTGGATGACATCAGAATGTTTCTACGAGTGGCTGAAACGGCTCGATGCACACTTCACTTCGCAAGGTCGAAAGATTCTTTTGCTTGTTGACAACTGCAGCGCTCACGGCACTTTAGAGACTGCACCTTCGCTACAGAATATTGAGTTTTGCTTCCTTCCCACTAATACAACCCCGAAATTACAACCATGTGACGCCGGAATTATAATGTCAAAGAAAGTACAGTATAGGAAGTACTAGATGAGATCGGGCGTTGAAGTTTGCGGAAGCGGAGACCATATCCGACATTTACAAAGTTGATATCGTAAGTGCCATGCTCTCATTCAAGCGAATTTGGAGAACAATGGCTGCGGGCATCATCGCCAATTGCTGGCGACACACTGGGCTTATCGGCCCAATTGCGGAAATCAACGAAAGCAACTTACAGGATGAGGTAAGAGAGCTTCAGAACGCTGTTGCGCACCTGGTTCCACCTTATGTTCGAATGGACATTGAAGATCTGGTCAACCCTATCGGTGAAGATGACTGCATTGCGGGAGTGTCTGACAAGCAACTTGTCGACCAGATTATAAACCAGTCAGTAGTAGAAGATTCAGAGGATATCGAGATTGATGTTGGTGAAGTGACGCCTCTTCCATCATTCAAGGAGCAACTACAGGCCGTCGCCAGTTGCAAGCGTTTATGCGACGCGTATAACGTCAGTGACGCGATTCGAAGCTCTGTCTCCGCTCTTCAAGGGGAGGTGAGACGCCAAAGACAATGTGCTGCGAAACAGTCAACGATGGATGCGTGGATCAATAAATGAACCTGCGAGGGGCCCACGTGTCGTTACACGTGTTCAGGCGAGCTCTCGAAAATTGGGACGTCGTGATAATTGGGACAGAAATCAGTCCACCGTACAGTCCCAATTATCGCGATTGCACTGTAATATCATACGTTGTACACGTTGTACAACACGCCAGATTCGCTGAGAAAGATAGGACAGGCATCATACACGTTTCATTTTCTTTTTTGTAATTTGATCATTTACCTCCGCGTTGGTGGAGATGCTCTAAGCTCTCACTGCCCTGGAAAGTGTGCGCAACCCGGTCACACACCGAGTTTCTACATCCCTTCATCTCCGAAAATCCGAAAACTCGGCGCAAATATTTCGCAAAACGCCAAGACGAAGGCCATCAGTCGCTCTCGATGTCAGCACGCGTCGCCCAATGCTCCAGTGAGCAGTGTCCTGTGCGCACTGTCACCCTGTGCCCCATCAGCGCGATTGCTCGTCGCCTTTCCTAACTGCACACCCCTTTCCACTCTTTTTTGCGCTCCCCCACTCCAATTACGACCCGCCCCCTCAATTCATCATCCCCCTCTTCTAAACTCTACCCCCTCTCTTGCCCCACCTCCGCCACACCTTCGCCTCCTTGTACATCACATCACCACGCCACTCGTTATCCGCTCACGCACGCACGCACCCTTCCCTCCCACCCTCCGTTCCTCCGCACTAACCCCTCTTTTCACAATGCTTATCAAAGAATACCGCATCGCCATGCCCATGACTTCAAAAGAATGTACGTCCATCAATACCGTCCCATCCATTTATCATCTTTGCTCTCTCTCCATCTAATCCCTCCGTCCTTTTTCTCAATCACCGCTGACTCTTTCGCTGCCCCTGCCTTCGTCCACTTCACCCTCCCTTTTGCAGACAACCTCGCCCAGCTCTATATGGTGGCAAAGGCAAGCCAGGAAGAGTCTGGCCAGCAAGCCGGCGAGGGAATTGAAATCGTCCGAAACGAGCCTTACGATTCCAAATCCCCACTTAACAGGCATGACATGCCACCTGGTCAGTACACGTGAGTTGCATCTACATTTTCATCCATCCCTTTTCATCCATCCCTTTTCTTCCATCCCTTTCTTCCACCTCATCCATCCCGACTAACGTTTTACCCCATGTTTCCCGCTGCAGCGAAAAAGTCATGTATCTCAAGAGCAAGCTCCCAAAATTCGTCGCCATGCTCGTCCCCGACTCCATGACCAACATCACCGAGTACTCGTGGAACGCCTTCCCGCGTTGCAAAACAGTATACAGAAACGCCTATTTTGGCGACAAGTTTGTCATGTCCGTCGACACCATGCACGCCGACGACCGCGGCACCCAACAAAACGCCGTCAACCTCCCGCCAGCCGACATGGCCAAGAGAAAAGTCGAGTACATGAACATCGCATGCGAGGACTCGTCCATCCCCATGGAGAAAGGGGAGAACCCTACACAATTTTTGTCAAAGAAGACGGGCCGCGGCAACCTCAAGCCCACCTTCCTAGAGGACCATGACCCCATCATGACGTGCTACAAAGTCGTTAAGCTCCGCTTCAAGGTCTTCGGCTTGCAGACTAAGGTCGAACAGTGGGGCCACCATTACGGTATGAAGGTCCCGCTTTTGAAATGCCATCGGAAGCTCTTTTGCTGGATTGATGAGTGGTTCGGCCTCGGCATTGACAACATTCGCGCCATGGAGGAAGAGACCGCTCGTATCACCAAGGTCAAGATTGAGGACTCGCTCAAGGCCTCCGAAGTAGGGGCTATTGCAGCTAGTTAGTTAGGCGCCTAACTCTACTTCCGACCGAGGTAGGGCTGTTCATTTATTTCATTTACGGTTGTAGCATCAAGTTACATTTCGTCTCGTTTGGTGCGGTATGGCGTTGGCTTCACTGTGGTGCGCGATGGCAACGTTTTCAAGGTGCGTTTTTGGACACTGGCGAGTTTGTGATGTTTGGTGCAACTTGCTGCTTGGTGGGGTGACGCGGCAAAACATGACGTTCGAATCGTCGTTTTGCTGGTTGTCGTGCAGCACGGTCATGGTTGTGTTAGCATCCGTAAAGCACATTTATGTACTCTATATGTTTTTTCATCTCTTGAGCTGGCTTGGCGTTCAGACAATTACATCTACTGAACAAAAGAAATTACTGATTCGTAGATCTCGGTTAAGTGCGGAAACTACGCGCAGGGTGACGCGAAAGGCAACTCCCGTTTCGCAATGTCGAAATCTGCATCTGCAGGTACGCCCACACATTCTCACCTAGATAACGACTTTCGCTTCAAGAGACTGGACGAGGCAACTTAGCAGACATGCCTAAAGACACGGGATTAATACCAAATACCCCCTGCTGCTTTCTGTTGGCTGATTGCCTGGGTTTCAACGATGGTGAGGCGGAAAAATCACACTGAAGCCCTGATGTAATCAGACTTAACAGAAGCAGATACAAGAATAGATGAAAATGGTAGTAGAAGCTTGTTTACTGGATGAGTACAATCGAACAGTGGCTTCGCGTTTGTTCCTCTGAAGTCGCCTCCAATTTTCGCTTCTAGACAGGCAAGTGTGCAACTCGTTTCAATTCGAAGATGCCCCCAAGGCGCAATTTTATCCACGGACGGCGATGGAATTGCTGGGGAAGGACGACTGGGCTAGGCGGAAGTGCACCCCTGCGCATTTACCAGCAAAGACCCCCTTCGACAGAGCAGCTGCCACATCCTCACAAAGCAATTCAATCATGCACGCTTCCGCAAATCCAGCCAGCTCACTGCTATCCATCAAGGCCTTCAGATTTTCAACGGCCGAGGTATATGCTGTTTTCTCCGGAAGCATGAATCCGGCAGTGATGTCCATCTCATCGGAATCACTTAAGCTGATTCCTGGGTTGCATGACGAGTTCTTGTTAGCGACAAACCCGACGGTTTGCTCTTGAGAAAACCATCGTACATAGTTCTTGCAGTCCTCAAGGGTCCAAGGCTGGCCATTTCCGTTAGAGCAGGAGCGAAGGCAGCGTTCCTCACAGAGACGACACAGGCCTACAACGGTTGACTCGTAGCGAGCGGAAACTTTTCGCGTGCGATCCAAAACGAGTCCTCGCAATGCCTTGACTCGATCGGGGAGGCCGATGTTAACTGAGGCGTTGTTGCCTAGCTCGCCAAAAGCAAAGCTGAATTGCTCTGCTGATGAGGGGTCGGCATCCATAGGTAGTAATTTTACAGTGGTGCGATCATCGTCACCTGAATCGATGCCAAGGCATGAGACGTCCGGAAATAGGGCCTCATCGGAGGGATCGCAATGGTATGGCAAAGGGTCATCAATTTTAAGAGCCGAGGCTCCTCTCGCTAGTTGAAAACATACACCACCTGTTCGAAACAACAGGGAATGACATTTGATGAGAGAGAAAGCACGTGCAGGTAAGGAGTGGGTCGCGCAGAGAAAAAATAATCAAAAATAAGGAAAGCGCGCCAAAATAATAACAGAAAGAGTGTTGTCACTGTTAGAATCGGTACACTAGAACAACGTTCGCGGGGTCAATCGGAAAGCTGCGATGACGCGATGTACATCTACTATGGAAGGCAGGGAGGCAAGATAGCTTACCATCATTTCTAGGGCTTTGGGCAGGGGACGAGGAAAAGCTCTTCGGAGAAGTGAGTGGAGAATGCCATTGAGCAACGTCATCTGGAAGGGACTTAGACGAGTAGCGACCGGGAAGCTGACCAGCATTGGTGCGGCGCGACCTGGAGCGAGGCTTCTTCGCGAGAGCTGCGGTGAAGACGCCCTCTGTGGGGACTTTGCGGACTGGGCGTCTCACAGCGGGCTCTGATGGGGAGGATGGGTGGGAGTGGTCTGACTTGGACGGAGGGTCTGGGGCATGATGCTGTTGAAGCTTCTTGTTTGACTTTTTGGGGGCTGGAGGTACGTGGACGGGGAGGGTGTCTTCCTGTTTCACGGCGGTGAGGTTGCCATCTTTATCTCTAAAAATTGTGAGCTTGCCCTTCTTGTAGCGGACTCCACATGCATTACACAGCGTCTTCGGTCCGTCAGGGCCTGCACGCCAAAGTGGAGTTTCAGTGTTTCCACAATGGACGCAGCGGAGCTTGAGGAGGGGATCAGCGATCTTGCCCATGACGGCAAGGGGTGGTAAATTAGACGAGCGAAAGTGTGTGAGAGTGATGAGGGAATTAAATGAACAGACTGAAGCGGAGGCCGAGAGCGGGGTTGTGGGGGAGAGGGCAAGGCAGGTTGTGGAGGTAAAGATGGAGATCCGTGATATCTGGACGAAAGAGGAAGGGGACGGCCTGTTCATGGCGGGAAGGCGACGGACGACGACGGTAGAGAAAGAGGAATCCACTGAGGACTTGACACGTGGGGATGTGGAAGGGCCGCCGACAGTGTGCTGAGGCTGCCTGTGCGTGTTTTTGGAATATTTAAGAATCTGCACCGGGCTGGGAAGGGTCCAGCATTGGTGTCTGGGTCTTCCAGTCCGGCGCCACAGCCGCCAATCATGTGTCCAATAGAGATGCAATTCAGCCAATGGCTGTCATCCAACCCTAAAGGCCATAAAGGCCTCGTTGCTCTGATTGGCTGTTCCATATTATCTGGAGTGTATTTACAGTCCGAGAACTAACCCTTTTTGACATTGTTCCTTCTTAACGGCGCCCTTCCACTTGCACTTTCACGCATTTTTTTCGCAGCGCTGACCCACCGCCACTGCCGTGCCGCATGTCTACATCATCTGCGCATATGGATTGTACTGCAGAGAATTGAAAGACCCGCCAGCAGCTGCAGCCATGAACCCTGTACCAAATGGAACATTCGGACTCCGCTTTATGGGCGCCGGCATCAGCCCTTGTACAAAACTGTTTTAATGCACATCCTCGTCCCAACTCACTCTATACCCCGTTCGCAGTCTGTCGCAGCCGAAGTTTAAGTATTACCCTCTCCTCTCCACCAGTTAGATCTCTACCTCCCTCACCCTTGTGTGATCTCTTTCTGCCCTTTTCAGGGCCACCACTATCCCCGTCAACATTTTCCTCCTCCAACCGTCGCCTTCGTTTTCGCTCACGGCTGAAAGACACCGTCCCGTTCATTTGTCTCGTGTGGTCCGTCTGATTGCCGGAGTCTATGTCCATCATCTCGTTATGGCCGCTATCTTCCACTTGTGCATGCCGTTTTCTCAGTCGGAGTTTCACTGGAAATCCAAGGTCTCCATTCCCTTCCTCCCGACCTGTTGCCACCGATAATTCCACCTCGCTGGATTGCTCTCGCCGCTGCGTCTCTTGTGACTCCGCCTTGCTCGCGGCGTCTCCTCCTCGTCGCCGCTTTCGTCCATTTTGAGATGCTACCATCCCATTCCTCATTTCCGACTTTTCTTCTAACTCACCTGTAGCATCGCTCGAGCTTGCTCCCGCCGATGATACGCCTCCTGAATCCGCTCGGCTCGGCACTACCGCACCTCCATTCACACTTGCCGTCTCTGTCTTGACGTCCTTTTTGAAAGTCGATCCGGACCCCGTATCACTTGACTCTGTACGATTTCGTCCCGCCGTCTTCAGAGAACGCCGCGCATTGCGCACCTTCCGACGTTCCAAAACTTCATCATACGTTAAGTCTCCTTCCATCACCTTCAGCCATTCTGCATCTGTAAAGTCCACACCCTGCGTAGTATTTCGTCGCCGTCTTCCTCGACCATGCGATAGCAAAATTTCCTTCGCCTTCTCTTCCTCTGTTTTAAAATCCATTTCAGGTTGCAGCACCCACTCAGGCAACTCCGAATCCTTTGCAAAAAGCGGCCTAAGAGCGCCTGTTTCCCGGCATTCCTCATCGTACTTCGTGAATTCTTCAAATTCTTCGTCTGATCTTGCAAATAGCCGATTTAATTCTTCCATGTCAGGAACCACACCCACCTCATCCCCGTCATCGGTCTTTTGCCGCAAAATGTCTTTTAGCATCTGATGGCGATCGCTTTCCGTACTCTTGTTATTGAATTGCCCAGCTTGAATAACCTGCGCGTCAATCTGCAACTTGCGATTGGCTTGTTCAAGGATCTTTACTTCGACTGTACCAGAACATATTAGGCGGTAAACTCGAACCTCCTTCGTCTGACCGATACGATGAGCGCGATCTTGCGCTTGTAAATCCATCATTGGATTCCAGTCTGAATCAAAAATTATTACTGTGTCAGCGGATTGGAGGTTGAGGCCCACGCCACCAGCTCTTGTTGAAAGCAAAAAGCAGAAGTATGGTGAATCCTTCTCATTGAATCTATTCAAAAGGTTCTGTCTATCGTCTGCCCGTGTATTGCCATCGAGTCGGATATATTGAATTCCGATGGCAACTAGAAAATCTTCAAGATAGTCAAGGGCCGCTGTCATTTGTGAGAATATGAGCGTTCTGTGACCATGTATCCGGAATTTTGGGAGCATGTGCTGCAGAAGGAAAAACTTCCCACTAGCGCGAACCAGATGGTCTTGCGGCAGATCTAGAATCGCCTCAGCATCGTAGAAGAGGTAGGGGTGGTTGCAGATTTTCTTGCTCTGCATGAGTAGATTGTTGTACGACTTCACCGACGTGTTGTGTCCTCCAGTTGAAAGCCCGATGCGACTTTGCACTTGGCGATAAAGCACTCGTTGCCAGGATGACATGTCGCAGCGAATGACATGTTCAACTTTCTCGGGCAACTGAGACTCGACATCCGTCTTTAGTCTTCGTAAGAGGAACGGTCGTAGAACCTGGTGCAACCGATTGATGATAAGTAGTGTTTCCTCCTCTTCCAACTCAGCTGTGTCGCCTAAAGTAGTTGACTCAAAAGGCTGTTTAAACCACGTCTCAAACGTGTCAGCAGAAGCAAAAATTGTAGGCAGGAGAAAATTCAGCAGAGCCCAAAGCTCCGTCAGGTTGTTCTGCAGTGGGGTACCGGTTAACAGTAAGCGATTTCGAGATTTGTACCGCACGCCCAGCGTCATGGCCAGTTTGCAATTTGCATTCTTCATCCTATGCCCCTCATCGATGATAATGTACTGCCAGCGGATACGACTGAGAACCAGCTGATCCTTCACCGTGAATTCATACGTCGTTAGAAGCACATTGAAATCTCCGTCGCTCATCTGCTTTTGCTGAATCGCTCGACGGGTGTGCCTGTCACCGCGGTACGCCACTTTTTTCAAACTTGGGGCCCACAAGTCTAATTCCCTCACCCAATTGCCCATTGTGCTCAGGGGAACGATAATGAGATATGGGCCCGGATTCTTTTTCGCCTCCACGAGATAGGTGATCAATGCAATTGTCTGGATAGTCTTCCCCAGCCCCATCTCATCAGCAAGAATTCCGTTCAGATTGTTGTTGTATAGCGACACCATCCATTTCAGGCCTTCCAGTTGGTAAGACTTCAGTTCTCCGTGACCCATGATGGACGGTTGTTTCACCTCTTCCTGAACTGAATGCGTTACTGTGTAATACATGTCCCGTCTCTTGCGCATTGCTTCGATCGGCACTTGTTGTCGCATACCCAGCTCTTGGGAAAACATATTGTCCGACTTTTCCAAATTCGAATCATTAACTACATCTCGCGTCTTTTCAACCTGGGCACCTATCTGCATGAGGTAGTTGTCCGTCTGTCGCACGAGCTGCAGAAGGCGCTCATTTTTGGTGTCATTAAGAAGCCTCAAGTACGCTTGCTCATCATTGCTTCTCAGCAAACGGAGTCTTTCCATTCGTTCAAGCTTCTTCTTCTTTTCCTCAAGACGCTTCTTTTCGAGAAAGTGTCTTTCCAAACCTTTCCATATTCGAGCCCTGCAGTTTCTGGCAAATGCAGACGCATTTTGAAAATTTTCGACATGTGCTTGTAGCTTTGCTTGGTATCTTCGATTGCGCTTTTGCCTTTGCATGTCCATTCTTGACAAATCTGCGTGAGCTAGTCGGATGCTATCTTGTGCAACAACGGCGGGCGGGCGGGACGGAAGCTCATTGATACCATCAAAAGGCGTTATCCTGGGGCAACCCTCCGTGTAGGAGTATATCGGAGGGTCTTGTCGACGAAATAATCTTGTAAGATGATCTGTAGGCACAACACCATCTTCTTGAATGACAGGAGAGTACATTTTCTTCATTTCTCCACACACTCTGAAGCGAGCAATGCGTTGTAGGTCCAGTAGAGAGAGTTGTTTTGCTTCAATGATTGCCTTTCTCCGCGTCTGCTCGGTCATTCCGAGGGGCATGGCGGCGAGTTCAGCCTGGCGCCGACGAAGAAGTCGGTATAAAATTCGTTCCCTTTCAGCAAGAATCGATCTAATCTTGGAGGAATTGTTGAAGGCGTTTTGAGGGGAACGATATTTTGAATTCAGCGTATGCATAATCACATCCATTTCGTCCCGTTCGGGGCTCGAAGCATCGTTGACTGGTATCAAAGGTTCTACCAGATTTGACATGGCAGGCGCTGCGGCAATAAAACGTGAAGAATGTTCTTCTCGCGGACGGAACCGCGAAAATGGGCGTTGAGGTTGATCGCCTTGATTCGGGGGCAGCATAGCGTTTGGAATGCCTTGGGATTGTTGCAGATTTGGTGGATGGGGAGCCTCTTGCGCCATGGGAACGGGCAGCACGTTGTGGCTGACGTGAGGTGTTAGTGCAGGAAGTGTTGGGGGTGGCGGGATGTTGCGCATTGGCAACGGAACGGGGCTCGAGTAAACCAGGTTTCTGCGACGGGGAAGAATAAAACGTTGAAAAGGTAATGGGGCTGGAACAGGGGTTCTGCTAAATGCATGTGTAGACGGGGGCTGTGCTGGCACTGGGAGCGGCGGAGGGGGAGGAAACATGTCTTCGCGCGTCGAGGAAAGGTCGTCGGAGGAATCGCCCATCAGACGTCGTTTCCGAACACTGGCATGGCGCTGGCCCGCTCGGAGTTTGTGCATCTTATGAGCGAAGCTGCTGGACTTCAAAAGGGTCTCGTTTCGAGCGCGGGCGCCAAGGTCGGTATCGGCTCGCACGAGTTGAATGAGAGCGTCCGTGGCCTTCCGCGCTGGCTTGGGGAGGAGCTTGAGGGAAAGGCGTTGAGGAGCTGAGGTAGAATAGCATAGCAGTGAGTTCCCTAAACGCGTAATCTTGCTCCTTGGTCCTCTTCCAAGCAGTAGGATCCGCAAGCTTCAAATCCATCGCGGCGTTTCGGTGTCCCCGGAATGTATGGCTCTCGAATTGAGGTCATGTGCAACCTTTGCGCCATTGTTAGAAGTCGGGAGGATGAGGAGGCGTGCCGAGTTGACGAGCTGGAGCAAGGCGCGGCATCTGGGATCTTCTGGGGAGACGTCGGCATCGAGCAGTTGGCGCAGAGCGAGGGCGGCCTGGTGGACGATTTGCTGAGGCACGCGCGTGTTGACGCCGGTGACGATTGCTCCAGCGTCGAGGGAGAGATTAAGATGGCGCATGGGGTCGGCAAGAAAAAAGGGGCGGGTTTTCGAGAAATCGAATCTACGACTCGGGCAGAAACAGGGGAGCAGATGAGCATGAAATGGCTTGGTGCGCTCTTTGACAAAAAGCGACGCGCCCTCTTGTTGGAATACTCCTACTGTACTATCTACTGTACCGCACAGCGCCAATACTTTTTTATATTTATTTAATTCAACTGTAAGCACTCTCCCCATGTCCCCAAAACAAATGCAAGCCTGTACGGTAGGCCTGTACGGTAGTAGACGGGTATTAGCGTCGCGACCAAACCCTCTTCCCTCTATCATCATATCAATCTCCCTCTGCCTCTTTGTGCCAACGTCCCGGCATCTGCAAAAATTCATACCGCAGAGCCTTCCTCACTGAAACCTGGTCGCACGTTATATTATCTCTCTTCAAAAACCAATGTCCGAACTCCTGCGCCTGTGACTTCTTCGCCTCTGCTCCAGAGACAAAGTTGTTGCTAATCGTCACAGGTCGCTTCGCATCCTCATTCGTGTACGTCCCCGTGTACCATGATCCCTCAACGAAGGCTTGCTTGTCGAGTAAACCAAGAGCCACCGGAAAGTCCTGCGTAAAATCCCGTTCGAAGAGCAGCAGAGCGCTTAGCTGAGTTTCATCATGTGCGACAATTGATTGCGAATGAATATCTTTTGTCTCAATCTGCATTTCATCGTACGATAGTCGAAACCGGTGATACACCTCGCCCCATAATCGTCTTGTCGACAATAGTGCTCTTAACAATAGCATGCTTCCTGCTATCTTCTGTTCTGAGTCCAGCGTCCCAACCACGTCGGCCCCTGCATGCACCTCTTTACCTATGCGTATGAACGGATCTTGAAGCCATATCTGGTCCGTTTCGAACAGAAACACATCAATCCCTCTGTCCAGCAAGTCTCGAATCAGCCGCGCCCTCATCAACATCATTTTCCAGTACGCGGGCTGCCCGTCGAGAATATGTACGCTATCCATGTTCTCCGGCGACAACGCGTCCGTAATATCTATAGTACGCCCAACACCAGATGCATCGAGTACGGTTTTTGATTCTTTATCGAAGGTGATCCAGAAGATGTGCGGTGGCTCAAAGCCTGCCTGCTTCACGTTGCACAACCAGCTCTTCGTCAACTCCAAAACTTGTGAACTGATCACTGCAATCGATACCATGGTTGGGCGTTCAGCAACGATACTTTGCAAAGCTTCAAAGTAGCGCTTGCCAAACTCTGCGTCGAACGGTTCGTACCAAACCGACCCAATTCTCACGCTGTCCCCGTACTGCGTTGAGAGTATCTTCTTTGCGCTTTCGTCTGACGCAGCAGAAATGCCATCCTTATCTGTCCCAGGCGCCGCACCAGGGAGGCGTATACCCAAGTTTGACTCTGCTGAAATAACACGCATTGTGTAGCTCGCTGCCCACCTAGTAAACCATCTCTCCCACAGGAGATAAGGGTTTCCTACATACCCGTAATTCTTCCCCACGCGTGTGCTATACTTGATTAGTTTCCTATCTTGCTTGGAATTCGACTCTCCCCGCCGAAATGTGGGGACAGACATGTCTTCTTCCCAAATATGAGGCCAGCTAATCCACTCCCGCCTTCTTGATTTGAACCACTGCGAAAAAAATGCCCACATATCCTCTCGACCCGTTCGCGACGGAGAAAATGCGCACGTTGTATTCAAAGGCCCAACGACATGCGACCACCATGGTGAAAGCGACATTTCCCCATGGCAGCCAATCGCTGCTCCGACATACTCCCTTCGTCCGCCGGCTGTGTAGTACTTGTCAATTCCGACGTGCGCAAGCTTCAACCAATCCATTGCACGGGTCGTAAACTTGATACCGTCCCTGAGGAAAACGACAGCGGTGCTCTTGGGAACGTCATCGAGGGTGATATCACCCCACATCCGCATACCGCTTTGAAGTCGAACGTCGACAGCGCACTTCTTTTGCTTTAGGACGCATAGCCCATCGTATTCTCTGGAAAATTGAGCATGAACCCGCTCTGAGCTCGTGTAGAGACGATACACACAGTTCTGATCTTCGATTTGAAGCTCATTGACACCGACAAGAGAGTGAACGATAGAATCAGAGGCCACAATTGAAATGAACATGACATCTGGACTTTTGTGAGGGAGCGATATCCATGAATCTTTACATTTCCCAGCGCCGCGAGAGAGCTTTCCTTGAAATAGAAATGTGGAAAGACAAGCTAGGCATATAAGTACAAGGGTCGAAGAAATAGCGAATGAGAAAAGCCTACCACGGTCGTGTCGACGACGGAAAAAGAAACGAAAGTCTCCCATACAGCCTTTACCGAATAGGTGGAGAGTAAGACGGATCAATCGGTCCTTCCAACAAACTAGTCTCTTCTGAGTGCTGCTGATTGTGCTTCAAAGCTAGGCAGCATCAATCAGGTCGGGCTCTCCACGATGACCAACTGCGGCCGAGTTGGTGAGGAATTCTAACACAATTGCTGAGAACGTAACCATCGTGCAGCATGCACACTGCTGGGCCCATCATGGTGGACGCAGATGATGATGGTGAAACATATTAAGGATCGGAAAGAGGCCCACGTCCCTGTTCCTTCCCCGCGACCGGGTCGGTCGAGTGGTGAATCCAATTGACGCGTGTAACGGTTACTGCGATGCACACGGATGACTGGAGCATAACCATGAGCTGTTTGGATTTACTGTAGTACAATTTTGTCAAGGCTGTGATGTGAGCCTTACAGTATACTGTACTGCTCTGTACTGTGGTGCAACTTTCAAATGTGCGACACGAATCTCACGCCCTGTGCCCACAGGGCGTGTGTTGAGATCAACATGAAGTGCCCAGCACTCCTATACACGTGTATAGTAAAGTGCTGTGCACTTCGAGCACCCATGATGAACGTGGTGCGAGAGGCCCTGTCACTATTTTATGCAATCTCAATCTACTGTAGTGCGGTCGTAAAATTTACTCAAATCAATGGCGCCTCGCAACGTTCCTTCTCCTTTCTTACAGGCCCTGTGAATAAAAGACCTGCCTGGCTTCGAAGCCCCCATTGCATGCCACCCCGCTCCACCAATGCATCAGTCTGCATCGCCTCCAGTTCTTTTCAGGCGCTCGCCCGTGCGATTGCTCAAAGTCTTACAGAGAAGAATCGGCGCGAAAGACATAATGGAGCACTTCAGCACGACGTATTTGTTAGTGTGCATGACTGTAGCGGCGGGCGAAGATGCTACATGTGTTTGAGAATCTTGCCGCCCTTGAATCCACTGACGGCAATTGGGTTATTATCGGCATACTGTACAACTAATACGAAAGTATTTTGAAAGAAACGAGATCCGGTCCTAGAGGGCATAATATTCTAACCCGAAAACCACCGTGTCAGCATTTCATCTTTCTAGCGGTCCGGCACTATGCATCCAATCGGTGCAACTCGCCGGCTCAAAGCTTGACAACCGATATGTAGTCTCTATGCACATCTGACCAATTACGTTTCGTCGTACGGCAAAGAACCCTCTAGGATATTTTAGTCAGAGCTGCCAGAAAGCAGTGTAATCTAGTCCTGGATGCAGAGGCACACAAGTGGCTCCATTCTATGGCTTTGTAGGCGCGACATCGCAACAGATGTATTTCGTGTCTTCTCAGATGAGTTTTCCCGAAAGGCAGACCTTTCACTGTTGCACGACTCTCATTTGATTCACAGGCATGAAAAGTTGTTCGTTGAGAAGGTGGCTCACCTTGCTTCGCGGCTCAAGGCTGGATCAAATTTTGGCGTTCAGACTTCAGATGACTTCGCCTTCCTTGCGCGTGTCGTGAAGGAAATCTTTGATGAAGTGATGGAAAAAACAAACGCTTTCTATTGGACGGTAAGAAATACTCATTGCTGTACAAAATTACACGTGTAGAACTCAGTATGAGCCCGACGACGATTCTGGGGAAGTTTTTGCGCCAGAGCCGAACACCCTGCGGTTTTTGGCGTCGGCGGTGGCGTAGGGAAATCCGTCGGCAAGCTCCTAAGCCTACCTGTTGCCGCCTGCCGCTTGCAAGCGACTTGCCTTTTCGACCGCGCTCTACTGTTTTTGACATCGGCGTGCTCCTGATTGCAAGCCATTCTCTCCAAATCTTCTCTCCGGCATCCGAGGACATGACAATATGAGAGGCAACACTGGAGAGGGGCCCATTAGGGCCTTGGACGAAACGTCTTTGGCCACCGGGGGGCAGCGATGGCGATTTATTCCTCTTAACCAACGACTGAAAAACGCTTCGGCCCGCCATTCATCTCTTCCATCTACTCTGTTCGATTCCAGTTCATCCAACGTCAACCCCGATGATACGATATTTTCTCATTTATCCGCCGCATTGGTGGCTAATTCCGAAATCAATATCACCACCACATTTTCCGAATACGTTCAACAAGTCAAACCGCTCACTCATTCACTCCCGCTCATATACAGAAATCGAAAGAGGATCGTCACCTTAACACTTGACGCCCTGCTTTCCTCAACAAAGAATGCAGCGGAAGCCACGCCGTCCATTGCCAACTGCCTTACCGCCTTGGCAAAAGACTTGGGCTCACAAGAATTTCTTCCATTCTTTTCGCGTATGGTTGAAATGTTTGCTGTCATCCTAGATACCGGCAGAACAGGCGGGAAATTGACAGATGACGCTGTTCCGAAGGGCTCAACTGCTACAGTTCTGTGGGATCCGGAAGTTTCCATGGTTCCGCTTTTCGCAACATTAGCCGAAATAACCAAAGAATGCTTGCATCCATTGGCTTCTAATCCTGCCCAGACTATTACTGACTTGATACCCCTTCTAAGTAACGCACACTTTCGCGTGCGAGAGATGACGGCGGAGTCATGCCTCGGATACATTGTTCGGAAATCCCGAGACGTCGTTCTGGTGAAAGATCTCGTCTGCAAGCTCCTAGAAGTCTCAGAAGATAATAGATTGAGGGACGGAAAAGATCTTTTTCTACTCGACGGTTTGGGTGACTCCTTGTATGAAGCAGTTCGGCTGCCTTCGGGGCGCCTTCATTCAAGAGCATGTGAAGTTCTTCGTCACTCTGTGCTACGAGCGAACGACTTCCACGCGAGCGCATCGAACGGCCATGAGTTTGTTACTGAGAACAGAAACCGCATGCTTCAGGTTATTTCACTCTGTCTGTCCCGTCTTTCCCGCCATCTTAAAAGCTCAGCTGACATTCGCTCGGTTGGCCTCGTTTTTCTCGAAGTGGGGAATGCTGCGAAGAGAGAAGGGAATGCACAGCAAACTGGAAACGTTGCGTTTCTGTCAAACCGGTGGCTTCAAAGTACTGACAGAAGCGTAACTTCTTCTCATGACCAGGTGCTTCTTCAAAAGTTTTTACTTGCGTTCTCGGGATGGGCTGGTACTTTTGCATCGAACGCTTATGTCGTCTACGAATGCCTTGGCGGAATAGCAATCATAATTTGCACATCTTTGGGCGATAAGTCTCGAGAATCTACGCTTCGAGTGTTTTGCTCGGTTTTATCGAAGGTGTCAAACACGACGGAGGCCGATACGTTATTGTGTGCTATTGATGTAATCGTTCGGATGCAGACGTGGAAATTGCAATTGGTGGATCAATCAGTCCTCATTGTTTTCTCTAAAGTGTGCGATCAGCTTGCTACGATAACGGACCCGATGCAGCTTAATGATTCGAGCTGTAGAGTATCCGTTGTTGCTCTCAATAGGGCTCTAGCCGTTCTGCGGCCCACATCGAGAGGTGAGGTCTGGATGAGATTGCCATCGGTAAAGAAACTCCGAATACCGACACTCGAAAGGCAGCTTTTGACGATGGTTTCGCAGCAGGCAAGTAGCAAACCGGCTGAGCGTGGAGACAAGCCAATGTCAGGTCTTTTGGAAAGTGCCTTGGAATACCTCTCGCTCGTTCCATTTTTCAATGACTCCGAAGCCCTACAGGGCCTTATTTCGATGAAGGGCCTGAAATCGGATGGGGATGGAAGACTCTTGAGCGCTGTGATCGTTCAAATAGATGGAAATTTGCGGGACAATTCCCCTTCTTTCCAGTCCGATCTTTTGGTATTAGTGGACCGGATATTGGTGGCAGCGGAGAAATCAACCGTGACGCCGCTAGGAATAGAATCCTTAGTCCGGTTTATCCAACTATTTCCCACGCAGGCGAAGAAGATTTTTCAGCGGCGACTTGAAAAGTCGGAAAAGTATATTGAGGTGCTTTCGTCAAATTTAGGGTCTTCGGAGAGAAGTGTCAGGATGCAAACAACTGAAATGCTTCACGACATCACATGCTGTCTTCTTGACGAAGGCGTTTCTAGGGGGGGGAGCTACTCCAAGAATGATTTCCGCGGAAATGTATCGGGAATAATAGAGGACATGCAAAGCTCTCTTCTAAGTGAAGGGTCACTTCCCAAAGGTTTCTTCGCTGCCTTACGACATGTTTTACGTACACTGTCGACGTTGTCTGAGATCGATGAGATCTTGCGACTGCTGAGAGAAATGGCTCGCCTTCTTGCAAAATCCAGCAATGTGCACAGGCTCGTTCTTACAGCCTCCGTGCACTTTAGCGTTGGACTGCTTCGCACACCATTCAAGATGCTATGGGAGTGTGCTGGAAGCATTTGGAGTGCCGCTGCTTCTCACATGGGCAAAGAAGCAGTAGGCGTGATGATGCAGAATCTGAAACTAGCTGAAAACAATTTGATTCTCTTATCTAATGCGAAACGAGAAAGTCATACAGATCTTGATGTCGAAGATGTGGAGTTGGCAGGATCTGAAGGCAAGGGGCCATGTGACCCAGCAAGTGAATCTAATAGAGATCAAAGCAGAGAGGGCACTTCTGAGGCTTTTCTAAAGACACACCACCTTCCAAGAGAAGGCGTGAAGCACTTGAAGAGAAGTCGTTCATCTAGTGGGGCGGGCAGGAAGAAGATGGCGTTTTGGCAACAAACATTAAGGCAGTGGGACCATGAAGAATGGAAGATGCATTGCCAGGAGAAAGTGTGTCAGGCTATAGCAGAAATGCAAGACGCCACCGAGGAAGGCGATGAACCAGGGATCCTCGAGGGCACCACAGATAGCTCAACAATGTTGCGCCAAATTCTTCGAATACTCTCTGAAGACCATCACATTGTTTCCGCATTTCGGAACGACATTTTGCTATCGTACTTGCATCTTGACCCCAGTTTGTTTTCAAGAAGCGAAGGAGACTCACTAGCCATCAGCTTTGCCAGTTTACTCGCAAAGTTGGGTGGTTTAAGGCTGACTAACACGGATGATCGAGAGCTTTTACTGCGCCGCCGTCTTCTTACTGATCTCACGCGTCCAAATCCCGCACTTCAACTTGAGTGCCTTAGATGCCTTAGTTCGACTCGCTTGAATCCATTGAAGCCTTATCGAGAATCCTTCATCCGCTTAACCAAAGATGCAACATTCCGAGATGAGCTGAGCAAACTGGGCGACACCTTACTCCCGAACCTAGAATCTGGGGAGAGAGGAAACATCCCTACGGAGGTGGATGACTTCATACTCGATGTCGTCCTGCGAATATGTTTCTCAAAAATGACAGGCAAAGCAAACCGGACAGAATCTAGGCGCGCTGCAGCTCTAGTATTCATCGTGTCAAATCTTCCAATAAGCATCGCAATACCAAGGATCATTGACCTGGTTCTCGCTCCGGTGGCCGGCATCGTAAGCGAAACTCAAGAAGGGGTTCGTGACGGCACTGCGATTTCAATTAAGCGATTTCCACCTGTAAGTGTCCAGATGGGTCAGCTTACCTCCATCGAATCAATAATGAAGCATTGTCTAAAAGCCCTCGACGCTGCTTCATGTCGAAAACTTTCTGCAGCGTGTCTGGCCATGCTGCAGAACGCCTCTAGCGGATCTACGGCAAAGGCAATCAGATCTCGTTCTCTCCGCATACTCGCAAAGATGTGCGACGGAAGAGCGCATAGTAGTGCAGATATTGTGCTTCCTGTTCTCGCGGCGATGCGAAAGAGTAACTTTGAAGTCACTCGAAGGAGTCACAATAGTGGGCTACCAAGCCTTCTTTGCTTCGTTGCCGCCGTATTCAAGTCCAGTCCATCCAAGGAACAGCAGCTAGTGGTAATGAAGGAACCATGGGCGGTTATATGGTCTTTGCACGTACTCAAAGCGAAAAACTCGTCTCCCGAAGCAGTTCAAATGTCTCTTGTCGTTGCACGTGGTATCTGTGATTTAATCATTCCGCAGTTGACGACCTCTAGTGAGCAGCCTGATTCAGTCATCGAGATTTCCTCAGACTACTCTGAAGTGACCTGTGAGCTCGTTTCAGCCCTGCAGCAGTTATTGCATAGACTAACTGAGAACGTGCTGACTGAACGAAATGCGAGAAAGCACTGGGATCCTATTTTCCATGAAGCCTTGCTTGTTGTAGAAAGAATGATACATACCTCTTCGTTGCAGAGCCATGGTCTGGTCAGTATTGCTTCCGGACTCGTTCTTTATTTAGAGAATTCTCACACGTTTGAAAGCACATATGAGCACGCACTGAGAGTACTCACGGCAATTTCACAACAGCTGTCTGTTCGAAGGACACCCACAAATGTGGATGAAATTAACAAGAGCCTTTTACAAGTGCGTGCATCTGCAATGAAGTTACTGCCATTTTTCTCCCATGCCCGGTTTGTGCGACAACCTGGAACATACACCCAGCTTTGCAAATTTTTGGCTGTTCTTGATGCTCCAGACTTGCAGGCCGCAGCGAACTATTTACAAATGATGAACGCAATGGAAAAGTCGCGTGTCGACTCTCCTGACGTGGACTGCCGAATCGATGGCTTGAATTTAGTCATCAGTGCGTTCAAGAGCGCAACGGAGACGTCGACCGACCAAAGCATCTCCCCGGGAGAAGTACGGTTTTCACTACCGGGGAATTCTGCTGCAGAGTCTCATGGCGTGGTTTGCTCTGCTGACGCAATAACTGCAATTACACATGGCTGTATCTGCTTAGTGATGTTTGATGATGTGGCCGTACGCGGGACCTCTGGCTATGCTTTGCAGCTTATTGGGGAATGGTCTGGAATTTCGAACTTGAACAGTGCAAGAGTTTGCCAAAGTCGCATATTCCGATTGTTGATGGAAGCTGTGGGGACTGCAACTACGGGAACAGTGCGGAGAGAGTATACTAAAGCATTTGCCGCAGTAGTTCGACACGCAAAGAATGTCGAGAATCATGATGAATGGAATGGGTACTCCTCCTTTCCGTTGCTAAAACTTCTCTCTAATCGAAAAGACGTTGACTCTGACTTCTTTGATAATATTGTACACTTGCAAGCTCACCGTCGAAGTCGAGCACTTCGCCTGATTCGGAATTCTATCTTCGAGTCGAATGACTGCTCGAGTCGCGATGCTCTAACTTCACTTGCTTCACACTTCGCTCTACCAGTCGCGATGCAAATTGCGCTTGAATTATCTGAAGACGTTGAGCAACGCAATGTAAGCTCACGACATGCAGAATCACGAGCAGGGGCGGAAAGCGATGTGGCTGTTTGGGCAATTGAGCTTGTTGGAGTTGCTGCCCGCTGGCTGCCCTGGCCAGAATTGAAAACATGTATACGTGAGCTCATGAAAGATATACGTCACTGCGAACACGAGAAACGATCAAGGACTCTGTACAAACTCCTTGTTGCTGTAGTGGAAGCAATCCCCCACACCATTTCTGTGCAAGACGGCCTAGACGGACCCTCACGTGATTTCTTGACGGGGAACTTGTTGCCAGCTTTGTTGGGCCATATTACCGCGGGAGGTATCGGCGGTAATCATGTTGAAATCAATGAACTGGTGCAGACAAAGCAGAATCGCTACAAGCGAGGCTCATCAGGTGCAGTGTTTCGTGCCCCAGTGGCCAGCGCCATTGCACATCTACTAACCTGTTTTCCAGGCTCAGACGGAGACGTGATTATTCCACAGCTAGTGGCCCCGTTGGCGAATGCATTGCGATCACGCAAAACTGCGGTTCGTGACTCCGCCAAAAAGGCTCTCAATTCTATAATAATGACTCTAGGCACCCGATATTTGCCGTATATTATACAGCAAGTACTTTCGGCTCTCAAGGAGGGATTTCGTAAGGATGCCTGTGTGTACGTCATACATTCTATACTGGTGGGGATACGGGACAAGACCAATGATACTTCAAAGAACGGAAACAGTGACTCCCTGAGTCTCGATGGTGCAGCGCAAATCATCGCTAAATATTTGGCAGATGAACTTCAGAGTGGAGCAAGCACGTCGGGAAAAGATTTCGAGGATCCCAACGCAACAGCTTTTTTTCAGAAACAAGCCTCTTCGAGAGCGATAAGATCATGCGAATGCGCAGAGATTTTAGCTCAGCAAATTGACTTTGGCAAGAGTGCTCGCATTGTGTTACTTCCTTTCCGAAATTTGCTGTCTAGCACATCGTCTTCGAAACTCATTTCAAGAACAGAAAACCTTCTCGGTCGAGTTCTGACTGGCCTCGCTAAAAATTGTTCGATGAAGTCCAAAGATGCGCTGACGTTTTGCTACGAACTTATCTCGGCTCAGAAAGATTCAGAATGGCTGCATGATGCAACTAGGAGTGATCATGAGCCTCCAGAGGCTAATGTTTTGAAAGAATTGTATGCAGTTTCCAGGGGCTGTGCGACGATGGTCTCTTTTGGATTACAGCTTATGTGCATTGTCGTGTCTAAGAACCAAATACTCTTTAGCGGCGTCTCGAGCGAATCTCGCGAGTACCAGGCAATGTTAGAACCGTTCTTGCCACTAATTGTTCAGGCTCTCCGGACAAAGCATGACACTCTTACCCTTTTTGCTTTACGGGCAACCCAGAAGCTAATGAAGTTACCGTTGTCGAACAAAAGTATCGTTGCGCAGATGATGTCAGACAGAATTGTTGATGTGTTGTCGCACAGTGGAGGAGTGATGACTCATGGTGATGTATTGTTCAATTCTTGCCTTCGAGCGGCAGCAGTTTTAATGTATGATGGTAGTAACGGAGGATTCAAGGCCTTATCCAAAGATCGTGTAGAAGCTTTGATATCCGTGTCATGCAAGAGTTTGGAAAGTGGAGGGCTGGAAGCAAGGTCAGCTGCCATTGCGCTTCTGAAAGCGGCAGTGGGCTCAAAAATAATGATTTCAGCCGTCTATGACGCTATCGAAAGAGTTAACGAGATGGCCATTCATTCCCAGTCCTCGTCGTTACGGTCATCATGTACCTCCCTCTCCGTTCAGTTTGCAGTTTCATTCCCTCTCGGCTCAAAACGGGTTAGACAACACCTGGAATTCTTCGTGCGAAACTTGAATTATGAACTGCCAACTGGACGCTTGGCTGCTTTACAGGTCATAAGAACTTTGATATTGAAGTTCCCAAGCGATGCACTGACGGATGAGTCGCAATATCTGTTTGTGGCACTTGCCGCGAGTGCCGCACGAGACTCAGACGGGGACTGCAGATCGTGTGCTTCGGAAGCTCTACAATTGCTATTTGAGAAGGCATCGTCAGGTAGGGGTATCTACAGCCTGCTGCAAATGTCTACGGCCCTGGCGGGCGTTAAGTCGGATATGATCGCTATTGATGATCACATTGAAGTCATAACTACAATCGAAGACGACGTTCAGCTTTCAGGGGCGGTGGCTCTGTCGAGAGCATGCAAGAGCCGCCGAATGACATCTTCCCAGCTCAATATGATTGTTCGTGTCGTTACTGTTGTCCTGACTGACCGTCTGGGAGAAGGCAAGTGGGAGACCGTCTATGGGCTTCTCGACGCCCTTGAAAGTGCATTTGACGTTCAGGAAACCGCAGTACAATCGGAACGTCTCGAGGTGCAGCAGCACACGCTCAAGTTGTGGGACTCCTTGCCGTTGTTGCTGATACACAAGCATCCATGGGTAAGGCTTTCATCAGCACGACTGCTTGGTTCCCATCTGAGCGTTCATGGAGACAACAAAAGAGCTGCTGAAAAAAGGCCGGCGGTACCTTTTTCTTTGCTCTGGGAGTCAAGCACAAATGTTCGCAATATTCTGAATTGCTGTTGTGCACAACTCGAGGCATCCTCTATTTCAGAAAGCCTTGTTCATCAATGTCTTAAAAATATATTGTGCATCGCGAATGTACTATTTCACAACCCTGCCATTGGGGACCTTGCGCGAGAGCCCAGAGCTGGAAAGAGGGATATTCAACAAGAGAACCAGAACGCTGTTATTGTCCCCACAAGCTTGAAAACACGAAATCCCGGTCTGCATTGGTTAGTGTGCCGCGTATCTGGACTGGCAACGCGACCAGGTACGGAAGCAGCAGACAGCCTTCGGCGCGGTTGTGCTATGCGGTTTCTTCACGTGATCGCCAAGTGGTGGGGTGTTGACTTCGTTCTCCCAAACCAAAAGCTGTTTATCGCCCCTATTGTGAAGGTACTAGAGCACAAAGCCCCAACAACTGTCTCTCAGGTTGGAAACAGAGGATATGAAAGCTTAGTAGCGAGCCAAGAAAATATTGGCATGGATGGGTTGAAGGAAATTGCTGGGACACTGCAGGAAGCGCTTGTTGAGGTGTTAGGTGGTGGCGCCTATTACAGCATGTATAAGCTTTTGCGAAATGAGCGCAATGAGGTCAAGGAAGCTCGAAAACGACAAGCTGCTTTTGAACTCGCCATAAACCCAGAACGGGCAGCCAAGAGGAGAAGGAAGAAAGCCGAGTCAAGGAAACGCAAAAAGAAGGGTGGTTGAAAGCGATGTTCAATGCACATAGCCTGCGACGGTTGTAGATAGAAGATATGCGGTTGTAAATACGGTTTACTTTGTCACAAAAGGCATAGCTACATCTAGTGTCTAGACGACAAGTGACCTCATATGAGGCTACTTTTCAACTTGTTTTTTCTCAAGTTGTGTTTGCTCAACAAGAAGGAAAACGATACTCTCGCCACCGCAGATGACTTCTGCGTTGCGGAAGGATGGCGTTTGGTGAGATCTGCACGTCTTTTCCAGCCATTTCTAGAATGACAAAAAAACCTCTTTTTGACCAACCTCAAAACGTTGCGTGTTGATATCTTCGAGACCAAAACACCTGTTTAAAATGTCAACCGGGTATTGAAACTTCATTAGATTCTTAGTCCTTCTGCGTATCCACAATTGCTATCTCAATGTTTTGCAAGATGTTATTGCCGAGGGCATGTACGTTAAAAAAATGGCGTCCAAACTGACTTTATAAAATTTCGATTTTTAAATCGTTAATAAGTTTGTCCGTAAAATAATGCGTTGTTTTTTTCCATTTGCCCAGAAACTCGCTGGACATAAAGTAAACCCGAGATTGAAAAATTCCACCACAAGTTTTGCGGACTGACCTCCAGCAGGGTACCATCGTACCCAGCCGGAGGGCAGTCCGCAAAACAGCCCGCAACAAACGCAAGTCTGGTACATCGTTGTGCCGGCCGACGGATCACGTGCACCTGCGCGAACACTCACTGAAGCGAATATCCCCACAAGGATAGAAAGGTTCTCAGTCGTAAGGGCGATGTGTTTCGTCTTCTTGACAGGCTGAGGGGGGGGGGGGGGGGGGGGGGGGCGTTTGGAGAGGACCGCCTTTTAGAAGCTTCTACTTGTCTATCTTTCGCAGTTGCTTCGGCGGCATCTGTAGCAGATCTTGTCGCGCTTTGATCCATTCGTGGACTCTGCCCAGATGAAGCGATAGGGGCGTCCATGACGCATATCGATACGACCCGTGCAGTCTGAGACTCGTTTGTGCTGATGAAAAAAACGGAAGACCCACTTTGTTTTTCTTCACGACGCGTCGATCCGACACTGCTGTGATCAGGCGAATGTGAAACTCGTGGAAAACTCACATGCCCCCAGTTTTCGGTATGCTGTGAGTTTTGCCAAAAACGCGTTGTTTAAAATTTTGCGTTCAGAAAATCCGAGCAAACTTGCCGCCAAAACACGCGTCTTCGTGACTTTACGGACAACCTTAATGCATATATTTTTGCGAAAGAGAGAGCTGTCCTCATAGGAGGCCATTCCTGACCTCATGTGAGGCAAATCGCTTGTCGTCTAGCTTGACACTACAGTGTCTATCCGACCGGGGCTTGTCCTCATATGAGGACAGCTCTCTTTTGCAAAGCTATATAAACTACCTTGAACATTTACAAAGCTACCTTATAGACGATTTCCTTAACGTACTTGTTTTCGTCAATAACATCTTGGAGAAAACGGTCATAGCAGCTTTGAATATGCAGAAAGGTTGAGAATGCCATACAGATTGAGTACCTAGTTCCCTTTTTAAACTGGGGTTTTTGGTTTCGAAGCTATTTTACGTGCGGTTCGAAGGTGGTTAAAAAAGCTTCTTTTCCAGATATATCTATAAACGACCAGGTAGAACATTCAATTCTTACAAAGTTCTTTGTGGCCCCAAGGCAAAATTCAAGTACGGTGGCGGGGATACCTTTTTCCTTCTTGTCGAGAAAGCGCAAGTCAAGAAAAAATACGTCGAAAAGTGTCCTCATATGAGAACAACGGTCCGATAGACACTATAGAGGACATATATTGTTTGGTAGAAGTTACTATCGGATTTGATAGCACGAGGTCTCGACCTCTCAGTCAGAAATATCCGATGATCGCAAGTGCATCCATCTGATCTCAGCGAGAAGGAACAGCAGTGGTTTTACTTTGAGCATCATTTAACGATGCAGTCTTTCGCCATGTTTAAGTACAGAACCAGGGAAACTGTTTGGCCTTTCACTGCCGGAAAACTCAATTCTTTTTGCACCTAGTCGAAAAAATAGTGGGATGGAAAATGGATGCCTTCAAAAAAGTCCAGAGCAACAAAAAGAAACTCAAAGGGGTTTGCGTTGCCAGATCGCAAGCAGTTACACAGGTTCACCCCAAACAACATCCTTATGGAGAAAGACTATGTCCTCTTTCAGCCTTCTAGTCCGGAGTGATCGTTCATCCAGGGTCGGAGTATGTCGAATGTATCCTTTTGATGTGAGGAATTCTTCCAGCGGTTTCACAGCAGGTTCTGGTGCTTCTACTGTTAGGACATTGATGACGACCGTGTCCCAGTCTATGCCTTTCAGAACATGAAGTTCATGGCCTTCAACGTCGAGACTAAAATAGTCCACTGTAGTAATATTATATCGGATGAATTCCTTTCCTACGGTTGAGCATTTCTGGCGCATCGTTGGTGGAGGCGCCTTCTTCTTTCGCTCCCAGTCCGCCTTGTTTTTGTTTGTGGATGTAATTCCACTGAGCCCCCCGTCGAGCTGGAACATTACCGTTCTTCCATCCTTGTCTGAGACGCATGTTGGCACGAGGGCACACTCTCTGTGTCTATGAATTGCGGCCAAATAACCAGGGTTTGCCTCGACGCACAATCCCGACCATCCCAAACACTTTTCAAGAAAGTATGTGTTCGAAATCCCAATGGGGTTGTTTGTGGCGACGTCCAAATAGACTCCTCGTCTCTTCAAGTGGTTGAAATGGCGAGTGTATAGATAGTAGTCCTGAGACATCTGCGAAAACATTCGGAACTTCCCATCTGCGCATTGCTGAGAGGTCTGGTTTCGATGGCATGACGGATCGGCTGGGGCCGGTTTCTCTCTCAGTTGTGCGCAAAAAGCGAGACTGTTGTCAAGAGACCATTGTTTGTTAACGGGGAGAGAGTGGCGCTGGGTCTCATGTGTGGTTGGCGGTTTGACTGGGGTGGGATGCCGCAAAACAAGAAGTGTGTATGAAATATAGAAGATAAAAAAGAAAGCAGCAAGAACGCAGTTGCGATAGAGTGTTGGGGTGACATTCGTTTGAAAAGACATGATATGGGCGGCTCTGAGTGATGAGAAGATGCAGACCGAGTGAACGGAAAAAATATGTTGGGGGGCGCACTTAAAGTGAAGATGGAGGTAGCGTTGGACAAAAAAATACAAGGATCGTGAATGGGTTCAGATACGATCAGTGCTTTGCATCGGAGTTTTATGCGAACAGTACGTGTACAGCAGTGTTGGTTCGGCTCAGGATTGATGACGAGGTGCAAACGATCAGTCGACATCAAACCGAAGACGAGTGTCGTGCGATGGAGTGTCAGCTTTCAGAATATCTAGATACTGCTCTAAAAATGGTTGTTTCTTCTCTCTATGCCTCATCCAATCTATGGTTTACGATCTTCTTCCTCTCAAAGTAGTCGACAGCAACCCGCATGCAGCCACTGTCGGTAAAGACATGCATATAAATCTATAGATGTTCACTTTTCTGCGTGAGCAGCTCTAGTAGATGTCGAGCAATGCATCTGCTGTCATCAACGGGTTTGAAGATTGGAAGTTTTTGCAAGATACGAGTCGTTAATTGCAATCACCGTTCACCGAGTGCCCCCCGTCTACAACAGAGAGCACAAAACACAAAACATCAAACCGGTTTGATGACGTCTTATGCATTGCTGTTAGTTGATCCTCCGTGACGACTTGAACGGCGAGCCACGTGGTACACGTCCACACGTCCAGGCTCATTTCACCTTCTTACACCCAATGGCTTTCTCGATCTTGGACTGCAGCTGCGAAAATGTTTTGAGATCTTTTGCCTGTCTCTTCGCTGCCTTCCTCACTCAGATTTCTCTCGCACTTTCGGCGCAATCACGGGAATTCTTTCCAACATATCCGCACGCATAGCGCTCTTCGGAATTTCTTGTCTACTGAGCCAAAAGCCTCTGACGAGAAAGGTTCAGTTGCGCCATGGATGGGCCAACAAATCCAGCTTTTGCCCCTTCTTCTCTGCTTTTCTCACAACTACAACCAAGGAGACCTTTCACTTTCTCCCCTCGCAGACGAAAAGCTCAAACTTTGCACGTGTCGGTTTCGCAAGCAACCGCATCCCCTGCCCCAGCCCATGAGAAGGCTAGCTGGCTTTCGCCCCAGTCCAACACAAGCTCCCGAGCAAAACGCAAAGCGCCCCTCGGACCGCTCTCGTCACCCCCACCCCGCTTCAATGACTATTCTTACCATTCCGTAGAAGCCATCCGTATTACCCACTGTCGTCTCTTATCTGAGGACATGGCCAACATGGTCACCCGTCAGGTCCGCGCCAAGGAAAGCTCGCTTGCTGAGCTCTCTAGCCTGCTTTCCGTGTGTGACACTTCCAAATCAAAAAGTGGCGATACTGGTTGGGTGCAAGTACCAAATCCTAACATGACTGTCCGCAATGCTCTTGCGGATGAGGCGCAGCATCTGGATGATCTCGTCAAATCGGTCGCAATGCATCCCGAGCTTTTACACGCTGCGATGGCGGCGAGGCCCGGCGCATTGCAGACGGTACAACTATCGTATGGATGGGAGGTATTTGTCGTGGAGGACGTACGGCACGCCGTAGTACCGACTCTCCGTGGCGCGCGGCGCGGCCCCGGCTTTCCCGTGACTCCCAACATGCGTCGCACGTCACCCAAGAAACCCGTGATCGACGACATGTCGTACTACATCCAGACGTTTGGATGTCAGATGAACGTGAGCGATTCGGAGCGCATGGCGGCAGAGCTGGAACGTAAGGGCTACCATGCGACGGATGATCCGAAGAAGTCGGCATTGTACCTGCTCAATACGTGCGCATTGCGGGATCACGCCGAGCAGAAGGTGTACTCGTATCTAGGACCGCACGCGCAGAGGAAATGGGACGCGCCCTCCGAGGTGACGCTTGTCGTGGCCGGTTGCGTGGCGCAGCAGGAAGGGGACAAGTTGCTCAGTCGTGTGCCGGAGGTAGATATTGTGATGGGACCGCAATACGCCAACCGGATTGGGGAGGTGCTGGACGACTTTGCAGAGAACATGATGCAGATTGTGGCGGTGGATCCGATTCACATTCAGGAGGACTTTTCGAAGCCAGTGCGCAGCTCGAAAATCACGGCGTGGGTGAACATTATCTATGGGTGTCTGGAGAAGTGCAGCTACTGTGTGGTGCCGAATACGCGAGGATTGGAGCAAAGCCGGACAATGGAATCAATACGAGCGGAGCTGCAAGGGCTTGCGCGGGACGGGTATCGCGAAGTGGTGCTGCTCGGGCAGAACGTGGACGCGTACGGGCGAGACTTGTATCCAAAACGGACGTTCTCCGATCTGCTACGATTCATACATGATGTGGACGGTATTGAGCGGGTGAGGTTTACGACGGGTCACCCGCGATACATCTCCGAAAATTTGATCACGACTGTGGCTGAGCTGCCAAAAGTGATGGAACACTTCCACGTGCCGCCGCAATCTGGTGACAATGGGGTGCTGAAGGAAATGGGGCGCGGATACACGCGGGAACGGTACATGGACATTGCGCGGCGGGTCCGAAAGCGAATGCCTGACGCGTCGATATGCGCCGATACGATTGTGGGGTTCCCCGGCGAGAGTGAGGAGGCGTTTGAGAATACGGTGGACATGGTGAAGCAGGTGGTGTTCGACTCGAACATGGTGCGGGCGTACTCGGCAAGGCCGAACACGACGGCAGGGCTGAGGGAGGACCAGGTGGAGGAGGAAGTGAAGGCGCGGCGGTTGGCGGTGATGAACCGGTTGATGCGGGAGCAGGCGGAGAAGAGGAGCCAGCGGTATTTGGGGAGGCGGGTAGAGGTTTTGGTGGAGGGCGTGAATGAAAAGGTGGACGGCGAGGTGATGGGGAGGGAACGGTCGAATCGGGTTGTGTTTTTCGAGGGCGCGGCGGAGGAATACGTTGGGAAGATAGCAGTGGTGGAGGTGGACGAGGCATTTGCGTTCAGCTTGAGGGGGAGGGTCATTGGGGAGGCTTGGTAGCACTTTACAGTATACTGTAAAGTGACAGACTGGATCAGTGCGTTATCTCGGGTTACAGAATTTGCAGTGTACTGTAAAGTGCCAGACTGGATCCGTGCGTCATCGCGGATTACAGAACCTCAGAGGGCCATAGAAGAGGGAGAACGTCATGATCTTGCCAGCCGTACACGTGGACCGCCGCTCGCTGTGTTCTGGGCATGATGTGGTCCAATGAGCGACTCGCCTTGTCGGCACGGTGCAGCCCGGCCCGATACATTTATCGAAAGTCTCGTTGATCTACGCATGCCTCTTCCCCCAAATGACTGACCCACCCCCCAATCATTACTGCTGTTTCCTTATTCAGCACCAGACCAAGTACCAACCAAATTGGACTCTCCAATTCCCGGCCCCCATCTCTCTCTGAGATCTCTGCCCCGTCACTTATTTGGGAGCACAACCTCATGAGTATAAAATTGCCCCACGCTAGAATCTTTAGTTACCGTTCTTCAGTCTTCCGCTTTCCCGTCCCCAACCATGTGCGGCATCTTCGGCTACGCCAACTACGGCATCCCGGTCTCCCAGCACGCCATCCTCCGCACGCTTCTCACCGGCCTGCGTCGCCTCGAGTACCGGGGCTACGACTCTGCCGGCCTCGCGCTTGACGGAGCCTCCATTGATGATGTCCTCGTCCTCAAGGCCGTCGGCTCCGTCGACAAGCTCGAGCAAACCGTTGAAACCCTCATCCAATCCTCTCTCACCAAGCCCCGCTCCCTCTCCAACCACGTCGGCATCGCCCACACCCGCTGGGCCACCCACGGCGCCCCCTCCGTCATCAACTCTCACCCCCACGTCTCCGACGCTGACGCCCAGTTTGTCGTCGTTCACAACGGCATCATCACCAATTTTAAACCCCTCAAGGAAATGCTCCTCTCCAAGGGCTATCACTTTGACAGCGAAACCGATACCGAAGTCATCGCTAAGCTCCTCAAGTATCTCTACGAAACCGTCCGCGAGCCAGACGCCCGCCTAACCTTTCCCCGCCTCGTCATGCATCTCATGCACGCCATCGACGGTGCGTACGCCCTCCTCCTCCGCTCCACAGCCTACCCCAACGAGCTCGTAGCCTGCAAGGTAGGCTCACCGCTCGTCCTCGGTCTCAAGCCTGCTACGCACGAGGAAATCATTGTCATTAAGAGTTCCATCACAAACCCCACTGAAGACCCACAGCAACCAGAAGGCAAGCGCCGCCGCCTTTCCACCTCCAATGGCCACGTTCAACATGCAACCACCACGGCCAAGCCGGAGAAGGAGGGCTCCAAGGCTAACTTCTTCTTCAGCTCGGACGCCAGTGCCCTCGTCGAGCATACCGACAAGGTCGTCTACTTTGAGGACAATGACATCGCACACATCAGCAACGAGGGAGAGCTTCAGATGTTCAACTTCGGCGACCCTGCCACCCGCGCCATCACCTCCAATCGAAGCATCGCCACCCTTGACATGGAGCTCGAGCAGATCATGAAGGGCTCATATCCGCATTTCATGCTCAAGGAAATTTACGAGCAGCCAGATTCGCTTACACAGACAATGCGCGGGCGCGTCATTTCCCACGATTCCAGTCCGGACGACGTGAGCCGCAATCACCGCGGTGATGTGCACCTTGGCGGGCTGTCGCAACGCATCGGCGACTTTCGCCGTTCCTCGCGGATCATCTTCGTCGCCTGCGGCACTTCCTTCCATTCCTGTCTTGCCGGCCGCCAGGTGATGGAGGAACTCACCGAATTGCCCGTCTCTATCGAACTCGCCTCCGATTTTCTTGACCGCGAGACCCCGCTTTTCCGCTCCGACGTATGCGTGTTTGTATCGCAGTCAGGTGAAACGGCGGATACTTTGGAGGCACTCAGGTATGCCAAAAAGTGCCAAGCCTTGACGGTGGGGGTGGTAAACGTCGTCGGCAGCAGCATTGCTCGGTTGACAGACTGTGGTGTCCATCTCAACGCGGGGGCTGAGATTGGCGTTGCTTCTACGAAGGCATACACGTCCCAGATCCTCGTCCTCATCATAATTGCACTCCAACTCAGCGCCGATTCAAGAGCGAAACAAGGGAGGCGACGGGAAATCCATGATGCCCTGCTCACTTTGCCCAACCTCGTCACAAAGACACTCAAGGATCTCGACGGGAGGATGAAGGGGATCGCGGAACGATTGAAGGAGAACACCTCAATTTTGTTGTTTGGAAGAGGTTTTCATTATGCGACGTGCATGGAGGGTGCACTGAAGATCAAGGAGCTCAGCTACATTCATACGGAGGGCATACATGCTGGGGAACTAAAACATGGACCCTTGGCCCTTATCGATGAGAATATGCCAGTGATCTTGTTTGCTGGCAAGGATGCCTGTTCCGGTAAGGTTCAAAACGCCTTGCATCAGGTCACAGCGCGGGGAGGGATTGCCAACATGTTGATCGTCGGTACAGAAGGCGATTCGGAGATAGAAAAGTTCAGTGATAAGGTCGAACTCGTGCAAGTTCCGAAAACTGTTGACTGCTTGCAGTGCGTGTTGGCGATTATCCCAATGCAATTGTTGAGCTATCATCTTGCCGTGGCTCGAGGCCTGAATGTTGATCAACCACGGTGCGCTTCATGTCCACTTGTAGACCTTTTTGAACTGACGAGATCTTCCTTGATTTCTGTTCCACCCATGTTTGCTAACACTGCTGCCTCTTGCTTTTACCATTTCCTTTTCTAAAACAGATCTCTTGCCAAGAGCGTGACAGTGCAGTGAGGATGTCGCGTACTCCGTTCAACCGATATCCTTTCTCTGCAATATTTATTTTCAAGACTGGGGCCAGAATGCGGTACTTCAGTATGCCGCATTTTTTTGTCAAAACTGTAGACGGATGCAATAGAATCGTTCTCAGGTAGTGCACAATTTCATCTTCAACATCCGCTCTCAACATCCGCTCTCACTTGCGCCTGGGTAAATGAAACGTTAGCACGGACTACACTTGACTCCTTCTTTTCGTCTCCTTATACTCGCAGCCAAAAGGTTGTCCCATAAACCGCGATCCCTAAAAGCTGAGCGCAAACAATGCTTGTGACCACATACATATATCTTTGCGATTTTTTCATCGCAAATGCTTCCCCAACCCAAGTTGAGACAGTACTTAGAGAACCGCCGAGCCCCGCAATCGATGCGTTGAGGAATAATCGCGCTTCAGATGATGCGCCCGCCCAAAGAATCAGAGTAGCACCGATTGCTACATCGTAGAGCATTGCAATCATATTTGCAATAAATGTACCGACAGGAAATCCTTGCATTCTCCGATTAAAAAATGACAACCTCCATCTCAGAGTGGCTCCTACAGGGGCGTACAGAGCGCTTGCCCAGATTGCCCGACGAGTGGGATTGCCTCTGTCCAAAGCAGCCCCGACAATCGTCAATGACTCCCCAGCGAGAAACAAGCAGACTACAGAGAGGGTAATCATTGTTTGCTTTCGGCGGGAACCTTCTCCGCTAACATCTTTGTTTCCGTGGCTTGACGGAAGGTTTCTCTCCTGTTCATCAGGCGCAGCCGAATGATGCTGTTGCCGCCGTAGAGCGTGCAGGACCAGAACACCAACATCTCGCCCTACTATAAATGCGCAAAAGGACAGGCACATTCCTACCAGAATGCCTCCGAGTGCTTCAAGCCATAGTCCCCGAGAGAACATCCTGACGATCTGATAGTTCCATGAGGCAAATGCTACGTTGAAGAGAGGTAATATCGGCAAAGCAATGCAACATAGATGCAATGAAGACCCGCTTCACATGTAAACGACTTGGTAAGTAAGAACTGCTAGCCTGAGCACGCAGTCGTCGCTTGCGCGACGGACGGCGGCCAACGCTGCTAACGTACTCGTTACGGATCCGGCGTAACCGGTCGAAATGGCCAGCGCAAGCGCCTCTGGAATGGTGACTCGTTCTTTCACGACGACATGGCACCCTAGTACAAAACAACCGAGGAAGTTCGAGGCGAGGTCCGCGAACAAAATATCGTTCACTGATAGAATCCCAGTCCTAGTCGGTCCAAATAGAAGGTTAACCGATGTCCTCGTGAGGACTCCCAAGATCGCTGCGATGGATATCGCACAGATATTCGTGATAGTTGCGCTGGCGGTTTTATCCATGAAACAGCTGTCGGGCTGAGCGCTTCCGGACGGCTTCTTACTTGCTGCGGTTAAAAGTATCCGGATATAAATAAAAGGCTCTCATGACTTGATTGGAATGCGCGTACCGGAACACGCTCGTAGCGAGAGTGCGCCGGAATGCCATGCTGTTGAATACGTGAATCGGGGCGTAGAGTCTGTGGCGCCAGCAACCCGTCAGATTTTCAGTCCGAAATTTCAGCTCGAAATTTCAGCTCGAGCCCCTTTCCATTGTGGGCCTCTCAAGGCTTGACAGCCGAGGCCTGTGAGTACAGCACGATACATTCACAGTATGGGCCCCTCCCAACTCCCGGGTGTCACCGTATCACTTGTTGATGTCAACCTGTCAACAGGTCGTCACAGAGGTCATGGGAAATCGAAGAGTCCTTCTTAATTTAGAAACGCCCAGTGATCTAGGCTCGATCGTCTTCGGAACGACAACTCTTCTCGTACCAGAGCGTAAGAAGAATAGTAGTGACACGAATCCCCTTTCTATTCCTAATGAGACTTCTTTTTGCTTAATGCCCTGCCAGAAGGGCCCTCTGGCTGTTCGCCATCAGGAACATTTTAAACCCCAAATCAGATTGATTTGATCGACTTTTATGTGGGCTCGCAAAACCCTGTCAAACGGAGACATAGCGCTCGCATCACGCAAAAGGCTGATCTCTCTCAGTCTATTGCACCTGTTCGGAAAGGCCCCCTCCGGAATCCGCCATGTGCTTGCGGACATGCAGTCGAAAACGACTGAATTGCAAGTTAGGGCCCATGTCTGTAGGTAAAGGCTGGTTTTGGAGCATCTGCGGCACTGACGAAAAGAATTGGGGTCTCTCTTAAGAAAGAGCGGTAGAGGACGATGCCCTGAAGGACATACCAGAAGAGCCGAGGAAAAGCATCTGCCGCTGAATTCATTTGTGCTGTTCCCTCTGCCTGGACCAAACGTTCCGGTTCTCCTGGTATGATTCAATTGGGATGGCACACAGGAGAGGCCGATCATACGAAAGTATGTGGCTATGGTCGGAGATTAGAAACCGTTTGATTTGTAGCCATGAGGTGTTGCATGTACCGTGGCAAGTGGCTTCCCGCCTCAAATGTGGGACACTCTGTCGCTGAGGTATTCGATTTGACCTTGTCACCTGCCCGCATTCGTGTACATCCATAGTCATAGCTGCTCCTCTTACTGCAGTTGAATATGAGGTTTTGGGTTTATCCGTTCATCATATCATAAAATATGTTGCAAGCCATATGGCTGGGGAGTGGTTCTCGGGGCAGGAAGGACAAACGGAAAAAAGGGGGTTTCATAGGCTGGCGTGATATAAGGCCGGCGGAGTGACTCGCACTCGAAGCCAATCTGGGGAAAGGGTTCGGGTGCGGACGACTCCGCCTTCCATACATGACGTCAGGGTTTCTCGAGCCTTCCTGAGGCTCGACGACGTTGACACGACGGAAGGGCGGCGTAGGAATGGTGCATGAGGCCGGAAAAATGGGGATAAGGTAGGAGCGGGGAGAGGAAAGGAACGAAGAGAGGCGGGGGTGGGGTGAGGTGAGGTGGGGCACGGAATGGAAGGGCGGTGAACGGGTGAGATGAGACAGGGAGGGGGCACTCTTGCGGTTTGCCACGGGGCGAGTACGGCACGGGCGGGTTTCCGGTCGGGGTTGGTAGTTATGTGCGGAAGAACTGCAGAAGAAAGGTGGATATGGGTTGCGGACTCGTGACGTGGAGAAGCGCATGGCTCTGATGAGAGGGCGAGGGAGGGGGAGGGGGAGGCGAGCGAGGGCGGAAGCGGAGAGATGTGGGGAGGCGAATTCTGCGGGCGGGGCGCGGTGGTGCGGGGGCGGCGAAGGCGGCGGGTTATGTACAGTAGGAGTGAGGATGTGGCGGACGAATCGGGGATGAAGTGGGGAGAAAGGGGGCACGGAAAGCGAGGGAGGTTGATCACCTGCAAGAAGGCAGGTGATTGTGGGGGGGTAAGAGGCGGGGAAGGTGAAAAACGCGGGGCGGGGTGGTGCGGTTGAGCACTATCTGTCGGGATCAAAGAACGGCGAGGGGGAGGTTGAAGCAGGAAGGCAGGTGGTTGGTGGCGGGGTGTGGCCGATTTCAAGGGTGACGGTGAAGCGCCTTCGCGCCTTCGACTCCTGCTCGCCCGCTTCTCACGCTTATTCGCAGTCTCCATACTGTACTTCGTACATTGAACTCGAATCGGTGCGGTCTCCGGTAAGCGCGTCGCACAAGCGTGACGCTTCCCAGAATGGTAAAACGCACCGATCGGTCTCCGCGCTGCACAAGCGGTACAGTATCAGAACAGATACACAGAGAGACCCTAAATTTTACCCCAAATTTAAGAGGCGGGGAAGATCGATCTCTCGGGATCAAAGAAGGACGTGGAGGGAGCGGAATGCGTCGGGTGGACGTATGTGATTGGTGGATGTCCGACTTGGAGTGGGAGCGGAATGCGTCGGGTAGATGAATTTGATTGGTGGATGTCCGAAGATGGCCAGCAAGGCACGGCTGGGGTGTCCGCTGGGGAACGTCAAACTGTGGACGGGTCTTTGTCTTTTTCTGTAAATTATCACCCCAGCGTCAGCGTACTCTTCCCAGGAAGAGTACGCTGGGGAAGGATAACTGGTTACCCTTGGTGCCGTGTTCTGTACCACTGAACCCTGGGTTGCAGTGCGGTGCTGGAGTGCTCGTGCGGTATACCGTACCGCATAAGAAAGAGTAGATCAACTTTATGTTAGATGCAGTCGTGTCGTTGCGCTACGTTCTTGAGGCTGTCGATGGGGTGCGATGACGTACCGTATAGAGTTGGTGACTAGAGAGAGGGTAGGCTACAGTACCCTTGGGAGTACAGTACCAAGTTGGTACTGCACATATCACTGTAACAATCATGGATGCGGATCCCCACCTCCATACCCGGCTCCATACACACATTGTGCAAAAGTGATTGAGGGCGTCATGATTCGTTGAGTACAACAAGACGAGCAAGTTGATTGACCGATTTACATCACGCAAGAGGTGAGGTGCCGGGGGCGTGGAGAGAACAAATTCAGAAAAGGGGGAGCACAATGTAATCTTTCTTACAAAGTATGGAGACTGCGAATAAAGCGTGAGAAGCGGGCGAGCAGGAGTCGAAGGGGGCTTCACCGTCACCCTTGTTTATTTTGGAGGTGGTTGTACTGTACCAACGGTACAGTAGCCTTGGTACAGTATTATTATTGTGGGTGGGTTGTTGATTGGGTTGGAGCAGGGTGGTCGAGGCGTTGGAGATCCCAGTGAACGGCGCGTTGCTTTTTGAGCATGGAGGGTTCTCCGACGGCAAACCTTGTGCGTCCGCTGCTCCCAAAGCCGAAACTGGCAAAGGCTTTCAGGGAGGGCGGATGCGTGACTTGGTCTCTTTGGTTGTCCTTGTCCTGAGTATAGAGATTGCCCTGTTTGTCGTAGGCGGGTGGTTGGGATTCTGCGTTGGTGGCGATGGGCAGGACGTATTGGTCTGCGACAGAGGCGGACGGGGTGTAGATTAGGGTGAGGCCGAGGTTTGCCGAGTTGGGCCCGGAGGAGGACACGAAAAGCTCGCCGTCTTCTGCCTGCAAGTACGGTACCAATAGAGGGGGGTTAGTATGGTTGGCGTGCCGCAATCGAAAATATTTGCAAGTTG